AGGGGAGCTGCAGTGACGGTAAGTGTCAGCCTTTGGGGATTTACCACCAAAGCTACTTGCAGGAGGCAGGCAGGAAGCTGCCCTGAATCTGAGTCACGGAGAGACTGAGGAGCCTAGACCTGAGGTTACTGGCCCCCAACAAGGTGGTCCTGGGCCAGGGTGGGTGCTCCTGATCTGGGCGATTCTATCCTCCAGTGGTGGAAAAGGGTAGCGTTGATTATACTGCTGCAATTGAAAAGCCACTTTTACCACGTGTTGTCTGTAGCTGTGCCTGAAGCATCGCCACTTTGATGCCACTCTCTGCCACTTTCCCAGCGATAGCCATAATCTATGGGAGAGGGCAGGACAGCCAATCTCCCCTACCCCATGCTCTGTATCCCATGCTGCAACCCCTCCTCAACCCTGCGGGCTCCAGCCCCTCCACTGGGGCACTGGCCCAGGCCCCTCCCTGCCCTCAGGTTGCCCCTTCCCTTCGGGCCAGGTTCTTCTCCCTACTCCTTCCCTTCAGGCCCACGCCCTGCTGCTGCTGACGATGGCTCCTTTTTCTCTTTGCAGCTGAAGAACCTGAGTGGCATTGGGCAGCACCGATGAGCAGCTTGCTGGCCATCTTGACCAACAACGTGTGGACCTGGCACCATGCAGATCTTGTCTGAGGAAAGGCTGCAGACTGTAGACATGTCTGTGTGGGTGTGTACACCATGTATACATGAGTGAGTGGGTGGATGTGTAATGAGTGTGTGTTCAAATAAAGAGCAATCAATGAGAAAATAAATGGTCCTGTAGAGTTCTGTGTAGCCTGCTGTCAGATACCGCGATGGGTGCATGTGGATAGGGGGAGGGGTGTATATGGATAGGGAGGAGGTGTATATATTTTCTTTCATTCATTTGTGGGATGTGTGCATCGCTGGCTGGGTCAGCATTTATTGCCTGTCCCTAGTTGCCCTTGAGAAGGTGGTGGTGAGCTGCCTTCTTGAACTGCTGCAGTCCACCTGCTGTGGGTTGACCCACAATCCTATTAGGGAAGGAATTCCAGGATTTTGACCCAGCGACAGTGAAGGAACGGCGATATATTTCCAAGTCCGGATGGTGAGTGGCTTGGAGGGGAGCTTGGAGGTGGTGGTGGTGTTCCCATATGTCTGCTGCCCTTGTTCTAGATGGAAGTGGTTGTGGGTTTGGAAGGTGCTGTCTTTGGTGGATTCTTTGGTGAATTTCTGCAGTGCATTTTGTAGATAGTGCTGCTACTGAGCATCTAGGAGATAGGGTGTAAACCTAAAACGTTGACTTTCCTGCTCCTCTGATGCTGCCTGGCCTGCTGTGTTCCTCCAGTCTAGCAGCTATGTCCTTTAAGACCCAACCAGCTCGATTGGTAGTACTGCTGCCAAACCACTCTTGGTGGTGGACATTGAAATCATCCACCCAGAGTACATTTTGTGCCCTTGCCATCCTCAGTGCTTCTCCCAAGTGTTGTCAACATGAAGGAGTCCCGATTCATCAGCTGAGAGAGGACTGTATGTGGTAATCAGCAGGAGGTTTCCTTGCCCATGTTTAACCAAAAGCTATGAGACTTCATGGAGCCCAGAGTCAATGTTGAGGACTCCCAGAGCAACTCCCTCCTGACTGTATACCACTGTGCCACCACCTCTGCTGGTTTTGACCTGCTGATGAGACAGGACATATCCAGGGACGGTGCTGGTGGTGTCTGGGATACAGGGGGAGGGGTGCATATGGATACAGAGGGAGTGTGCTTATGGATTTGGTGAAGGATGTATTTGTGGAGTTTCGGATAATGAGAAGGTTGTCCAAGGATACAGCAGGATATCAATTATTGAATATTTGAGTGCAAAAATGGCAGATGGAGTTTAATCTGGACAAGTGTGGGGTAATAAGAGTGTGGAGCTGGAGGAACACAGCAAGTCAGGCAGCATCAGAGGAGCAGGAAAGCTGACGTTTTGGGTCAGGACCCTTCTTCAGTGTGAGGTGATGCATTTTGTGATATCAAATGCAAGATGAGAGTGTGCAGTAAATGGCCAGGCCCTTAGGAGCATTGATATAGGGAGGGATCTTGGGATCTGAGTCCACAGTTCCCTGAAAGTGGCAACACGAGTGAATGAGGTGATAAATAAGGCATATGGCATGCTTGCCTTCATTCATCGGGGTATTGAGTATAAGAATTGGCAAGTCGAGCAGTTGTACAAAACTTTAGTGGGGTCAAATTTGGAGTACTGTGTGCTGTTCTGATCGCTGCACTATAGGAAGGATGTGGAGGCTTTGAAGAGGGTGTATAAAGAGGTTTACTGGGATGTTGCCTGGATTGGAGTGTATTAGCTATAAGGAGAGATTTGGACTGATTTCACTAGAGCGTCCGGAGACTGAGAGGTGACTTAATAAAGTACATAAAGTTATGAGAGGCATGGTAAGGGTGGATAGCCAGAGCTTTTTCCCCAAGGAAATGTCAGATACAAGGGAGCATAGGTTTAAGGTGCGAGGGGGGGCAAGTTTTTTTTGGCACACAGAGGGTGGTAGGTACCTGGATACACAGGTAAAAAATGGACAAGATAATTTTTAAGAGGCATTTAGACACATGAGCAGGCAGGAAATAGAGATATGGACCTTGTGCAGGCAGATGAGATTAGTTCAGAACGACATCATGGTTGAGACAGACATGGTGAGCCAAGAGGCCTGTTTCTGTGCTGTGCTAGTCTGATGTACTACATAAACGTAGTGGCTACAAGAGCAAGTCATAGTCTACAAATCCTGCAGCGTGTAATTCACTTCTGACTCCCCATTGCACGGATGCGTGTATCATAGAATCCCTACAGTGTGGAAACAGGCCATTCAGCCCAACAAGTCCACATGGCCCCTCCAAAGAGTATCCCACCCAGACTCATTGCCCTACGCCTGCATTTCCCATGTCTAACCCACCTAACCTAAACATCCCTGGACACTATTAACAATTTAGCACGGCCAATGCACCTAACTGACACATCTTTGGACTATGGGAGGAAACCCATGCAGACACAGACAGTCGCCTGAGGCTGGAATCAATCCTGGGACCCTGGCACTGAAAGACAGCAGTACTAACCACTGAGCCACCGTTCCAACCTCAGTGGCATTTTGGGTCTACTTTCAGTACGTGAGCTGCAGTGATTTAAGTAGGCAGCTCAGCACCATCTTCTCAAGGGCATTGAGGGATGGACAATAAATGCAGTCCCAGGCCGTGACATCCTTGTTCCATGTGTGAATTAGTCCACAGCAATCTATAGCAATAATTTTAATATGAGGACCAAATGTAGTACTTCCAAGGTTGCCAATGACTTAGTGTGAATGAGAGTCATGAGGAGATGCAAGGAAGCTTCGCGAGATCTTGGACAGGCTAAACGAATGGGCAGCTACATTCCAGATGGAATATAAAGTGAATGTGTGATTTGCTAAATAAAACCATAAAGGCAAAGTATTTCATAAATACTGAGCGATTGGAAAGCATTGATGCCCAAAGGGACAAGGTGTCCTTAAACATGAGTAACTAAAAGCTAGTATGCATGTGCAGCAAGCAATTAGGAAGGCCCATAGAAGCCTTCAATGTGGGCAAATTTGAGTACAGAAGTAAACATGTCTTGTTTCTATTGTATGTATCCTTGGTGAGACCATACCAGTATTGTGTCCAGTTTGGTCTGTTACCTAAGGATATGCTTGCTATTGAGGGACTACAGCAAAGGATCCCCAGGAGTGACATGAACCTATAAGGAGTTTTGGAGGAATTGGGCTGATGTTTTCTAGAGTTTTGAAGGTTAAGAGGTAACCTCACCAGTGCAAACCAAATTTTTACAGAGCTCAGTAGAGTAGCTGCAGGAAGGATATTTTCCCAGGCTTCTGTGGGTGGGGCCGCAGGGAGAAACTGTCTCAGAATAAGGGGCTGGATATTTAGGGCTCAGGAGGAGTTTCCTCATGCAGAGAAATCTTTGAATGTCCCTTCCACTAAGGGCTGTGGAAACTGAATCGTTGACTATTCTCAACTGTAATTGATAGATTTCTGATATTAAACATGTTGAAGGATAGTACTGGAAAATGGTGTAGAAGACCAGCCGTGATTTAGAATGGTGGAGCAAGCTTGAGGGGATGAATAACTTCCTCCTACTCCAATTATGAACAAGTTGGTAATGGGCAAATAGGTAGCATATCAAGTTCAATAGAGAGAAGTGAGAGGTGATACACTTTGATCAGGCAATATGATAGGTGTACAATTCTAAAGTGGGTACAGGTGCAGAGGGACCGGGGTGTATATGTGAACAGAAGGTGGCAGGATATGTGCTAAGGGCACTTAATAAAGCAGATCTTTATTAATAGGGGCATAGAGTACAAAAGCAAGGAAGTGATAAGAGCATATTACTGTAGATGCTGCAAGCTGTATTGAAAACAGCAAATGCTGGAGATCACAGAGGGTCACAGCATTCCTTGAGGAAGAGCAAGCTAATGTTCCAAGTCAAGATGACTCCATCAGAGCTCTGAAGAGATATCTAGACTCGTAACATTAGCTTGCTGTGTCTCCATGGATGCTGTCTGTCCTGCTGTCATCTCCAGCGTTTGTTGTTTTCAGTAAGGAGGTGATATTGAACTTGAACAAGAAACTTGTGACTAATACCCGAAGTATTGTGTATAGCTGTGGGTACCACACTATGGGGAAGATGTGAATGCATTGAAGAGAGTGCAGCAGCGATTTACAAGAATGCTTCCAGGAATGGAAGACTTTAGTTATAAGGATCGATTGAAGTTGGTGCTGGGAGGGCAGAGACTGAGGGAAGCCTTAATAAAACTTCCCGACAGCAAAACAGTATTCTCCCGTTCACCTCTCATTAAACGCTAAACCACCCTCCCCCCTCAGCAAAGAAGTAATAATCAACCCCCACCACAAACTGCCAGGACACTGGGTGGAGTGGGTTTCGCGTGGCTTGCCGGGATGGAGGAGGAGCGGGACCGCGGGGCTTGCTGGGATTAAGGAGGAGCGGGACCGCGGGGCTTGCTGGTATAGTGGAGGAGTGGTACCCAGGGAGCTTGCCGGGAAAGTGGAGCAGTCCTGTAGAGGAGTGCCGTTACCAGCGCAATGCCGTATGCGAACCAGCCGACAGTGCGGATCACGGAGCTGTCTGACGAAAATGTGAAATTCGTCGTGGAGAACACCGAGCTCTCGTCAGTGCTGGGGACGGGGGGAGGAGAAAGGACTTTGAGGTGTTGCAGAGGGTGACCCTTCAGCCCCTTTATCCCTTGCTGGGGGCCGGATGCTGATGGCCCAAACCCACTGAATGATCAGTGAACGATCTGGCTAATTCGGATCTGCACTACCTTCTGGGGGTCATCATTTCTTTTAAAAACGAAACCACTTCCTCCAGCTGTGCTCTCACCGTGGCCCCACAGCACATTTCCACTTTTATATTCAAACCCCGTTGCAACAAATGCCACCGTTCAATCGATTTTCCTAATACTTGCTGTATTTCTGTGTGCTAACCCTTTGTGATTCATAACCTGGAAACTAGATCGCGCTATATACCTCAGTTCTCCAATCTCTCTCTCGACCTTTAAAAGTAAAATGCTGCTTTTCTATTCTTCCCGTCAAAGGGAGAAATTTATACTTTTCATGCACTTGACTCCTAAATCTGCCCATTCACTTAACGTGTCCGTATCCCATTGTAAACTCTCCACTTCTTGACACTTTACTTTCCGAGCCGTCATTGACAAATTTAGCAGCCGTATATTTGATTATCTCATCCAAATTATTGATCTAAGTTGTGAATAGTTCAGTGCCCAGCACTGATCCCTGTGGCACTCCACTTGTTACAGTTTGCTAAGCTGAAAATGCACCATTTATCTCTGCTCTATTATTTAACCAATTGTATCAATGCTGATATAATGTCCCCCTGTCTACTTAGCTGGTGCCTTTTGGAAATACAAATTTATTATATTACCAGTTCCTCTCTATTCACTAGGATGTTATTTCATCAAATAGCTCTAAAAGACCAGTTAAATACAATTTCCTTTTTACAAAAGAATGTTGACTCTGATCGCTGATTTTTTTGAAGTATTTTGCTATAGCCTCCTTACGAATAGATTGAAGCACCTTCCCTGTAGCGGGTGCGACACTAAGCAGCTTGTAGTTTCCTGATTTCTGTTCCCCTGCGTTCTTAAAGGTAGAGGGGTCAGTTAGTTCATTTGGCTGGATGGTTAGATTGAATTGCAGAGTGTTGCCAACAGCATGGGTTCAATTCCTGCACCAGCTGAGGTTGCCATGAAGGACTGTCCTTCTCACCCTGTCTTCTTGCCTGAGGTGTGGTGACCCTCAGTTAAACCACCATCAGTTGTCTCTCTCTAATGAAAGAGTAGCCCTACGGTCGAGTAAGACGATGGTGTCTTTAATTGAATAAAGATTTGCTATTTTCCAAAATGCTGTGACCTTTTCCAAAATCCAAGGAATTTTCTAAGATTATAACGAATCCCCCACTATCTCTGTAATCTCTTTTAAGATGTTAGATCCTGGGGACCTTCAAACTTTAGGTCAAATAGTTTTTCCAGCAGCTTTTCCCTGGTGATGGTGATTATTTGAAGTTCATCTCTGTCTATCACTTCTTGATTTTCAGTATCTTTGGGAAGTTTTCTAAGCCTGAAATACACTGAACCCAACACAAAATACTTGGTAAAAACCTCAGTGATTTCCTTAATTTCCATTTTCAATCCTCCAGACTCACTGTCACAAGAGGACTAATACTATAACTCTTATTCTCTGTTTTTGTACCCAGCTAGCTAGATACCTGTCATAATCTGCTTTCTGCCACTCCAATACCTTCTTAATATTTATGTAATTTTTAAAATTCACTGCTGGCTCTTAAATATCTGTCGACACCTCTGACTTATCACTACTCATTAGAGAATTGTACAGTGACAGCACAGTGCGGAGCTGGAGGAACACAACAGGTCAAGCAGCATCAGAGGAGCAGGAAAGTTAACGTTTCGGGTTCCGACTCAAAATGTCGACTTTCCTGCTCCTCTGATGCCGCCTGACCTGCTATGTTCCTCCAGCTCCACACTGTGTCATCTCTAACTCCAGCATCTGCAGTTCTTGCTATCTCTGAGAGAATTATACGGTGCTTCTTTCAGTTGAATACTGACCTTAATTTACCTATTCACTGTCAGATGATTCATCCTTCTTGAGGAGTCTTTGGATCTCACTGGAATAAGTTTTTGCTGAGAGTCATTAAATGTGTCTTTAACAGTCTGCCACTGAGTTTCTACTGTCCTACCTCATAAACTAGTCTCACTTTAGCCAGCTCTGCCTTCTCAGTCAAAGGAATCCCTTTATTTAACTTTAAAACCCTAGTTTGAGACACCCGAGCCCTGATAGCTTCACATTGAATGTGTAATTCTATGACTGCTTATTACCTAGAGTCTTCTTTCTCATAAGATTATGTAGTCATAGAGGTCTACATCACAGAAAAAGACCCGTCAGCCCATTGAGTCTGCGCTGGTCAAACACAAATACCTAACTATTCTTACAGAGATAGTAGGAACTGCCGATGCTGGAGAATCTGAGATAACAAGGTGTAGAGCTGGATGAACACAGCAGGCCAAGCAGCATCAGAGGGGCAGGAAAGCTGATGTTTCGGGTTGAGATCCTTCTTCTTCGTCTGAAGAAGGGTCTCGACCTGAAACGTCAGTTTTCCTGCTCCTCTGATGCTGCTTGGCTTGCTGTGTTCATCCAGCTCTTCACCTTGTTACCTAACTATTCTATTCCCATTTTCCAGCTCTTGGCCCATAACCTGGCATGCCTCGGCATTACAAGTGCACATCTAAAAACTTCGTAAATGTTATGATGGTTTCTGCCTCTACAACCCTGGCAGGCAGTAATGAATCCTGTCAAGTAAAAACTGAAAGAACTGTGGATGCTGTAAATCAGAAACAAAAACAGAAATTGTTGGAAAAGCTCAGCAGGCGTGGCAGCATCCGTGGAGAGAAATCAGAGTTAACATTTTGAATCGAGTGTCCTGAGGAACAGACCTGAAATGTTAACTCTGATTTCTCGCCAATGTATCCTGTCTCCTTGGTTGTTAGCAGGTCTAAAATAGCCTGCTTCCTGGTCAGCTCTTGAACTTTCTGCTCTGAGAAAGTGTCTTGAGTGCAATCTATGAACTCATTTTCCAGGCTTTGATCATCTGTTCTCTCAAACTACATGCAGGTTACTTATGATTTTTATAGTGTCTTTCTTGCATGTCACATTTATTTCTTACTGCAATGTAATTACTGATTCCAGGTTTTGATTATCTCCTCCGCTCAATCGTCATGTAGATTGTCCTGCAATGTAATTACTGTTTGGAATCCTATTTGGTAATCCCACAACTGACTTATCTTTCCTTTATGTAAATTGCAGTAAGGTCTTCTGATTGACTGCATGAATGACATTCTTAATTCACCCAGCTATCCCACCACCTTTTCCCACCTTTTGAAAGTGTAAAATATACTTCCCTGCACCCATGTCTCTGTAAAAGCTAACAGGTTTATTTTTATTTGTGCATACAGTTCATCCATTTTTTTAATGAGTGCTGTGGCATTCAAGACACAGTTGCGATGATGAGGCGTGGGGTGACGTTTTAACTCTGAGGGTGAATGACAGTCTGCCCTTCACCAAAGGAACTCTATCATTGATCTTTCTGCTTCATTTCAGAGTGGCAAATGCATTGCGGAGAGTTCTAATGGCAGAAGTGGCAACATTGGGTGATTACATATCCACACAAACATATCTACTAGCTGTCTGCATCGTACTCCTGCTCACTGCACTCTGCTCTCACACCCCCTCCTTTCTCCTCATGGCCCTCCTCCCTCACCAGCCCAACCTAACTATCTCTACATTTCCACCTACCTGCCTTCTCCCTCGCTCCCACCTGTCCCTCTCGCCATCTCGTCGTGCCACTTTCTCTCTCACTGTCGACAGAGTATATATATCTATATCAATGACATTGTATGTGTGTGTTTCTTTGCCCCACCCAAGCCTCACTGCCTCGTTCCTCTTTTTCTCTCAGTCTGCTGCTCTTTTTTGGTCTGCCTTTCTTTCTGTCCCTCTCTCTCCTTGTCTTTGTTTCTCTCCCTCTCTGTGTCTGTCTCTCGCCCCTGTCTGAATGTCTGTCTGTCTCTTTCTTTCTGTGTATTGTCTCGGTTTATTACTAACAAATGTTCAAGCTGTTTTCTGATTTTTTTTTTTGTGTTGCAGCAATTGACTGGGTTCAGATTGATGCAAATTCCTCTGTACTCCATGATGAATTCATTGCACACAGAATTGGTAAGCAGAGCCCAAACTATTCCATCTGTAGCTGAAAGTGAGGGAAATACAGGGAATGTAACTTTTGTGGGACATCACTGACTTGCCAGCATTTATTGCCCGTCCCTAGTTGTCCTGAGAAGGTGGTAATGGGCTGCCTTTTGATCCACTGCAGTTCACTTGTTAACCCACAATGTCCTTAAGGAGGTAATTCCAGGAATTTGATCCATTGACAGTGAAGAGATATGACATATATTTCAAAGTTATTATTTGGTACAATGTTCCCATAGATGGAAGTGGTCATGGGTTTGGAAGATGGTGTTGAAGGAACCTTCGTGAATTACTGTAGTGCATCTACAATTGTAATGTTGCTACTGTGGTGATAGCGGTGAACATTGAAGGCAACCAAGCAGGCTGCTTTGCCTCTATAGAATACAAGCACAGAATCTAGGTCGGCTGTGCTGTAAGCAAAACCTAGAAAATCAAACACTGGGTTGTTGGGAAGAGAGGGAGTGCCAGGTAATGTTACAGGTCGATGACTGTTTTGAGAAAGTTTGAAAAGTAAAGGATTTGATGCTAATGAGAGTTGATGGGCATTGAGAAAGAACAAAAGAGTGGAGGGCAGGATAGATAAAATTTTGGCAAGTGTTGATGGTGCAGGACCAAAGGAAGTGGTAATGGGACAAATAAAGTATCAAGAGATATGCACAAAAATCCTGACATTTTCTGAAGGGCTGCTATTTGATTTTCGGGGGACAACATTTTCATACTCTCAAGTTTCTTTATTAGGTGATACAGAGTCAAATAGCACAAAAATAGATCCTTCGGTCCAACCAGTCCATGCTGACCATAGTCCCAAAATAAACTAGTCCCATCTGCCTGCACGGGTCCATATCCCTCCAAACATTTCTTATTCATGTATTTATCTAAATGTCTTTTAATCATTGTAAATGTACCTGCATCCACCACTTTCTCTGGAAGTTCATTCCACACAAGAACCACTTTCTGTGTAAAAATATTGCCCCTAATGTCTTTTTAAAATCTTACTACTCTCACCTTAAAAATGTGCCTGCTAGTCTTGAAATCCTTTACCTTTGAGAAAAGACACCTACCATTCACCTTATCTATACCTTCTGTAATTTATGTTGACATGTGGAATTTGGATCATATGGAAGCAGAATTAGAATTCATTGACAATCAGTAATTGTTAATCCTCTATTCAACTTAAAGCCACAGCACACAAGGAAAACTTTAATTTTCTGGGTGCCATGGTAGTTAAATTGGCACCAGAAAACAGCCGTGAATTAGCTACAAAAATATTTTAGAAATAACTGACACACATTTCTGCACAGTAAAAGCCATCACCCAAACTGGTGAGGTCACAGTTAAATGATTGTATGTTTGTCTTCAACAACTCAAGAAATTCATATTGGGTAAGATACTCTGAAATTTAGTAACGCATCAATGCAAATCTTTATGAAATAAAGCTGTTCAACATTTTAAAAATTGGCAGTGTTCATTACAATAGCATCTGCTATCCCTTTCCCCGTATAATAACCTTTGAGCTTCTGTAATCTTAACAAAAGGCACCATATTCATTTGCAGGGAATTTATGACTTCAGTAACTTTTGGGATCTCCTGGTTGCCAGTATGCCTTTGTTGAAAAGTTTATAACTGTTCTCTCTCCTTTGCAGATGGCCTTCCCCCCACCCCACCCATCTCTGCTTTATAGGCCATTCGGCCATCTTGCTGCTCATCACTTGGCCTCTGTCAGCAGTTTCCAATGCCACCCCCACAATGCTTTGCAGACCTGGCATCCCTGATATTGAGATTCCAGTAAACCAAGCATACATTCCACATTGTGGGTGGATCTGTGCAGTCCAGATCAGTGGATAGTGCACAGGTGTAGCCTAAACAGAGTTTTGTGCAGCTGAACCATTGCTTGTATACTAGTCTTCTGGATATGTAGGACAGCATTCCATTGGCCTTGCTAAATGTACAGGACTTGTTCTACCGAGAGCCTCGATGTCACCTTGCATCTGCTTTGTTGGCAGCCTTGCATCATTTTGACAACAGTTACTGAGTCAGTTTCATCTAATGGTTTTTTTCTTCACTTTTAGGATTAATTCCCCTGACGAGTGATGACATTGTAGATAAGATGCAGTATTCGAGGGTAGGTCGATACAGGGTGTGGAGGTGGAGCGTGTGGAGCGTGTGTACCGGGTGGCGGTGCGGAGGTGGGGCGTGTGTACCGGGTGGCGGTACGGAGGTGGGGCGTGTGTACAAGGTGGCGGTGGGGAGGTGGGGCGTGTGTACAGGGTGGTGGTGCGGAGGTGGGGCGCGTGTACAGGGTGGCGGTGCGGAGTTGGGGCGTGTGTACAGTGTGGCGGTGCGGAGGTGCGGCGTGTGTGTTTCTGACAGTGAAGCAGTTTGTCACCGTGTTTGTTTTTGTGACTGTGTGGCACTTTGACACCCTGGTTGAGTTTGTGTCGGTGAGGCAGTCTTTCACTGTGTATATGTTTGTGTCGGTGTGTCTGTCACCGGATGTGCGTTTGCAACAGTGAGGCAAGCTGTCACCATGTGTGTGTTTGCGACCCTGAGGCTGTCTGTCGCCGTGTGTGTGCCTGTGAGACAGTGAGGCCGTCAGTCACTGTGTTTAAGTCAGTGAGGCAGTCTGTAACCCTGCATGCGTGCATGTGTGAGAGAGAGAGAGACGGTGAAGCAGTTTGTCGCTGTGTGTGTGTGTGTTGGTCTGTCACCGTGTCAGAGTTTGTGACAGTGAGGCAGTCTGTAACCGTGTATGTGCATGTGTGTTTTTCTGTCAGTGAGGCAGTCTGTTACCATGTACACATGCTCCGGTATTGTTTGTGTGTACAGTTCTGTGCTGTTTAGCTCCATGTGTTTAGTGCTGATCTGGCTGAATGCTGCTGTCTTTTCCAGGACTGTACGTGTGACGAGTTCTGCCCGGAATGTTCAGTGGAACTGACACTGGATGTGAAGTGTAATGAAGATCAAACTCGACATGTCACCTCACGGGATCTCCTCTCCAATAATTCCCGTGTTATCCCTGTGAGTGCTGTGTATTGAGCTGCTCACCTCTTTCCAGCAGTTATCAGCAAGAACCCATCACAGAAAGAGTAATTCCAAGGCGACACAATATTGCTGTAGGCTGAGAGTGGCAGGTGGATTTTTGCAGTTCCTCGCAGTCAGTGTGAGCTCTCTGCCAAAATACATCACCCTGCTTGGTTAGTGCTGCCTCTGGCAGCAACTACTGGGAAGGACGTGGGTTCATTCAGTAAAGGTTGAGTGGGACCTGCCCTGGGCCTCCAGCTATATGCACCATATTCTGATCGGACCAGGAGCATGTGACCGTGTTTTCCAGGGGTGGAGATGATTGAGCTAGGCCTGTCAATGGGTCTTGCACTGTTACAAACTTGTAATGGGAGCTGTCTTTGTCAAGGCACCACATAATCAGCCCATCTTTACCACTCCCTCATCCAGATTAGAGGCATTAGTCACATCACTAACTCGGTCTTTTTGTTTTATTCCAATAGGTCACATCTCGGAGCAGAGACAATGATCCAAATGACTACGTGGAACAGGATGGTGAGGGAAACACGTTGCTGTGTGACATTGTGGGCTGCCTGTGGGCAGTGTGTGACTGATATGATCCCAACCGACCTTCACTCAACGTTTGAAATTCGATGTGAGGCTTAATGCACAGGAGGAGGCTGTGGGGCCCATTGAGCCTGGGCTGGCTCTTTGGAAGAGCAGTCGTGTACAGTGCCATGGTTTTGTCTGGGACCCTGCTAGTTTCTCCTCACCGAATACTTGTCCAAGTCCCTTTTAAAATAATTTATGGAATCAGCTTCCTTCATTCTTCTAAATCAAACATTCCAAATCCTGGGCGCTGAGTCAACATAATCAATCCCGTTCTGAAGCAGTCGCATTGGATTTGAAAGATTAACTCTGTTTCTTACTCCAAAAGACATTGCCAGTCCTGTACAGTTAATGTCAGGAAAAATGTAAGAATGCCTAATTTCCAACAGCTATTATTCATCAGGGTTAAGGCTGCTGATTGGTCGGCAACTCAGCAATGATTGAGGTGTCATCATGGCGAAAGCAATGGGGAAATATAGGTTTCCGAGGTCAGGATAATTCAAAAAAGGTGCTAGCCTCAAACAGATCCCTTTGTTTGCAGAGAACACATCCCTGTCCGTGAATGTTCTAGTGAGCAGAAATAAGCCACGTCACAAGCTCGTTGTAAGTGGAGCTGGTAGTGCACTCGGGTGTTCAGCAAGGCCTCGTCGATTGTGAGGTCACATCTGACGACAGTGGTTTGAGTTTTTCAAGTGAGGTCTGCATGAACACGGCCAGTACTCTGTTTCTTACAAACAAATGAAGGAACATCCTGTTTGATTCAATCAGCCAATCACTGGGCTGTACAGTGTACCTGGCATCACACTAGTGCTAAAATCCATGTACTCCGTTGTTCATGGGCAACACTTGCCAAACAATCCTGAGTGCATCCTTCAAGATGAAGAGATTCAACAACGTGTGACTTTCCAGCAATATTCGGATCTGTACTAGCACGTGACTCTTTATCGTTCCAATAAGAGCATTCCTAAAGTTTCCAAACTGTTCATATATCTGATGTCTGACATCCCGGTACACCTACCCTGTAGCCTTTCAAAGATCTTCACACCTTTCTCGGAGGATGAGGCCCAGAGCTGTCCCGAGTCCTGCCAGCTGTGATTTATAAAGGGCTGAGGCCATGACGGCCCTGGTGTTAAGCTAACAATGTTTCAGCAGTTGTTCATTATTGGAGAACATGAGGGTTCAGAAGAGATTTACCAGGATGTTGTTAGGTATGGAAGGGTTGAGTTATGAAGAAAGGCTGGATAGGTGGGGAGTTCTTCCACTGGAGCATTGGAGGTTGAGAGGTGACCTTTTAGGAGTTTATAGAATAATAAAGGGCATAGATAGTTAATAGTAATTGTCTTTTCCCTAAGATTTCAGGACTAGGGGACATATTTTTAAGGTGAGGGGTAAACTTCTTACATAGAGGGTGGTTCGCGTGTGGAATGAACTTCGTGAGGAAGTGGTGGATGTGGGAACAATTACAGTGCTTAAAAGACATTTGGATAAGTACATGAATAGGAAAGGTTTGGAGGGATATGGGCCAGGAGCAGGCATATGGGACTAGTTTAGTTTGGGATTATGTTCGGCTTGGACTGAAGGGTCTGTTTCTGTGCTGTATGACCAGTGGGCGCAGTGTGCACTGAACAGGAAGTAGAGGATGGGGGAGCAGAGGGAAGAACCAAGGCTCATTAGGAGTTTAGAGTGTTGTAAAGTCAGGGCTGTTTGGAATTGAGACTAGCACAGGAGTGACTGTGGGATCTGGGAGACTGGATGATGCTGCTGATTGTGTTGGGGAGATGGAGAATGATTCCTGATCAAGGGCTGTTGATTGTATAGGGGTGGTGATGGTGGACAGTGTGTCGAGGACGTTGAGAGAGGTTGTTAATCACAGGCGGGGGTGGTGGTGAACAAGAGTGGGTGTTGACAGGATGTTGGGCAGTTGAGTGGCTGTGAGACATTGCTCATTGTGTGTCTGCCATGATGGTTTCCTTCTCTGTCAGATATCCTAATTGTGAAGCTACGCAAAGGCCAGGAGCTGAGGCTCCGAGCTTATGCCAAGAAGGGGTTTGGAAAGGAACATGCCAAGTGGAATCCCACTGCAGGAGTGTCCTTCGAATACGACCCTGACAATGCACTGCGGCACACAGTCTACCCCAAACCTGAGGAATGGTGAGGATCAGTCCAGCTCTGTGAAGGAGCAAGTCCCCAGGGAGTGGCTGGAGGGAGAGAGCTCTCAATCTCAGGTGGTGGGGGGAGGGGGAAGAGATAGTGAATAGTGTGTGTGGTGGAAAATTGATCTGGGTGTCACTGGGAGGAGCAGGGAATTTGCCATGGCGGTGCAATAGTCAATTGAGTGAGAGGGGAGTCGCCGGGATGAGGGATATTCACTGGGGTCAGGGTGTGTTCACTGGAATGAGAGGGGCAATTACTGGGTGAAGAGGGCAGGTATAACCTTTGGGTTATTCTTGTTTCTAAGTACTGATCTTTTCCATTAAATTTTAAGGCCAAAAAGTGAGTACTCTGAACTTGACGAAGAGGAGATCCAGGCCCCCTACGACCCAAATGGCAAACCAGAGAGGTAAAAGCACTTTTCCCTTTTTGTCATGGGGGATTGTCAGCATCACTGGCTCGTCTCTAATTGCCCCGGCAAAGGTGGTGGTGAGCTGCCTTCTTGAAGAGCTGCCGTCGATATGCTGTAGGTTGATCCACAATGCTCTTTGGGAGGGGATTTCAGAGTATTGACATGGCAACACTGAAGGAGCAACAATATATTGCATGACAAATAGATAGGGTAATAAAAAAGGCGTTTAGCATGCTTGCCTTCATTGTCCAGACATTGAGTTTAGGTGTTGGGACGTCATGTTGCAGTTGTACAGGATATTGGTTAGGCCACTTTGCAGTACTGTTTGTAGTTCTGGTTGCCCTACTATCGGAAGGATATTATTAAATTGGAAAGTGTGCAGAAAAGAATATTACCAGGACTAGAGGTTTTGAGTTATGAGGAGAGGCTGGATAAGCTGGAACCTTTTCCCTGAAGTGTGGGAGGTTTACCATGTAGAGGTTTATAAAATCATGAGTGGCATTATTGAGGTGAACAGCAAAGATCTTTTCCCTATGGTAGGAGAGTCCAAATTAGAGGGCATGCTTTTACAGTGAGAGGGGAAAAATTTAACAGGGACATGAGGGGCAAATTTTACACACAGAGAGTTGGTCTTAGGTAGACTGAACTGCATGTACAGTTACAATATTTAATAAACACTTCGATAGGTACATGAATAGGAAAGGTTTAGAGGGAGCAAATGACTGCAGATGTTGGAATGTGAACTGAAAACAAAAAGTGCTGGAGATCACAGTGGGTTAGGCAGCATCCATGGAAGAGAGCAAGCTGACGTTTCGAGTCTAGATGACTCTTCATCAGAGCTGAAGTGAAGTGTTGAGGGGGCAGCATTTACACAGTAGTGGAATGGGGGAGTTTGGAGTTCTGGGGGAGAAAGGATGTTGATAGTTCAGATTAAGTGATCAGAATGTGAGAATGACAGAACAATGATGCGTCTAACTGCCAGACTGGAAAGAACAGAGGGTCTCATTGGGTTGGGAGAAGACCTTCTCTGTCACCCTCTTCCCCCTTCTTCCCCCTTTGCCCCCACTCCAGTGGAACTATCTGTTCTAATCAGTCTGGCAGTTAGTCGCACCATTGTTCTGCCATTCTCACATTCTGATTACTGAATATGAACTATCAAATTCCTTTCTCCCCCAGCACTCCAACACCCCACCCCCACCCCACACACACACACACACAATTGTATAAATGCTGCCCCCTCCACAGTTCACTTTAGATCTGATGAAGAGTCATCTAGACTTGAAACGTTAGCCTGCTTTCTCTCCATGGATGCTGCCTGACCCGCTGTGATCTCCAAGGTTTACAGGGGTATCGGCCAAGCGCGGGCAAATGGGACTAGTTTAGATTTGGAAACCTGATCGACGTGTACCGTGCTGTATGACTGTGAGTCAGGATTAGCGAGTGGCTTGGAGAGGAACTTGCAGGTGGTGCTGTCCCCATGTATCTATTGCCTTTGTCCTTCTACATGGAAGTGGTCAAGGTTTGGAAAGTGCTATCTAAGGATCTTTGGTGAATTTCTGCAATGCATCCTATAGATTGTACATATTGCAGCAACTGAACTTCAGTGATGCAGGGAGTGGATGTTTGTGGATGTGGTGCCAATCAAGCGGGCTGCTGTGTCTTGGAAGGTGTCAAGCTTCTTGAATGTTGTTGGATCTCCGCCCATCCAGGAAAGTGGGGAGTATTCCATCACACTCCTGACTTGTGCTTGTAGATGTTGGACAGGCTTTGGGAAGTTGCGGGGTGAGTTCTTTCCCATGGGATTCCTAACCTCTGACCCGCTCTTGTAGATAGAGTAACTAATGGGGGAGGTGGTGGTGCATTGGAAATGTCTCTGGCCTATTGGATGACTTGTGGACTTAGCTGGTAAGGTTTAAAGTAAGTTAACAAAGGAGTCTGGAATATAAAAGCTAGTATCAATTTTGGTGACCATGAAGCTATCATTGTAAAAACCAATTCAATAAAGTCCTTCAGGGAAGGAAATCTGTTCTTACCTGTTCTGGTCTAATTATGACTCCAGACCCACAGCAATGTGGTTGACTCCTAACTGTCCTTTGAAATGGTCAAGCAAGACAATGGGTAATAAAATGTTGGAGGTATCAGTAACGCCCACATCCCATGAAGAAGGTAAAAACATAAACCTGAGATAGCAAGAACTGCCGATGCTGGAGTCAGAGATAACAAAGTGTGGAACTGGACGAACACAGCAGGCCAGGCAGCATCAGAGAAACAGGAAAGCTGATGTTTTCTGAAGAAGGGTCCTGACCTGACATCCCTGAAACGTCAGCTTTCCTGCTCCTCTGATGTTGCCTGGCCTGCTGTGTTCCTCCAGCTCCGTACTGTGTTAAAAACATAAACCTAGGTCTGTTCATTTTCTGGTCAATGCTAGCCCCCAGGATGTCGATAGAGTGGGATTCAGTGATGGTAACACCATTGAATGGTAAGGGATGAAGTTTAGATTCTCATTTGTTGGAGATGGTCTTTCCCTGGCAGTTTGGTGTCTTGAATGAAACTAAACCAGGAGTGTTTGTTTTAAAGCAATTTGACTTTTGGTTACTGTATGAGGGTCTGCTGTGAATGATGTTTTCAAATCTTGTTCCCGCTAGGTTTTATTTCAACGTGGAATCTTCAGGAGCTCTACATCCTGAGACAATCGTACTGTCTGCTCTATCTGGCCTCAAGAAGAAGCTGAGCGATCTGCAAACAATGCTGAGTCACGAAATCCAGAGTGATGTCCTCACTATCAACTAGCGACAGTCAAACTGACACTGCCCAGACCAGGGGAAGGGGTATGTCCAACCCTGCAGAGAGGGCAGGCAGAGGGAGAGAGTGGTGAAGAATGTAACTCTGTCAGGCCCCAGGGTTTGGAGCTATCCAACATCCTGCACCCTCAGGTGTATAAGCAGCCCAGGGGCTGCACTGGGAGCTGTTTACTTTTTGCTTATGTGTAAGCATCATTAAATGTGTTTTGTCAAGTACTGTTTGTTTCTTTCCTAAAGGCAAGAGAATTCCTTAAAGTTTGACCCATACATTGAGGGTGGAGACACAGTATGACTGGACAATGGAAATTCTGTGGCTTCTGCGGAGAGAGAAACAGATTTAATGCTTTTTGGAGGTTTAGATGAACTGTCGCAGATGTGAAATAATAACTCTGTTTCTCTTTCCATTGAGGCTGTTGGCTGTGTTTCTATTTTTTAAATCAATTAGGAAACCTGGGAGCACAATTTAAAGTGGGCAGCACGGTGGCTCAGTGGTTAGCACTGCTGCCTCACAGCACCAGGGACCCAGGTTTGATTCCACCCTCTGGTGACTGTCTGCGTGGGTTTCTGCCGGGTGTTCCAGTTTACTCCCATAGTTCAAAGATGTGCGGGTGAGGTGGATTGGCCGTAGGGAGTGTAGGGTTACAGAGAAAGGATAGGGGGATGGGTCTGGGTGGGATGATCTTCAGAGGGGCAATGTGGACTTGTTGGACCGAATGGCCTGTTTCCACACTGTAGAGATTCTATGATTCTATGAATGCCGTGAAATGGGGAGTTTGCAGATGATACAAAAATTGGTGGTGTGGTAGATAGTGAGGAGGATATGGATGGGCTGGTCAGTGGAAAATGGAATTCAATCTGGAATGTGAGGTGATGCACTTGGCTAGGACAACGAGACATGATGACTGTGGGAAGCACTGAGGATGTGCATGTATGCCAGTCCTGTAAGATATTAGGACAGGTGGATAAGATGGTTAAAAAGGCATATAAAGGTGTACTTGCCTTTATTAGATGAGACATAGAGTTTAAGAGCAAAGAGATTATGCTGAAGCTGTATAAAATGCTGGTTAGGCCACAGCTCGAATATTGTGTGCAGTTTTGGAATCCACGTTATGATGTGGATGTAATAGCACTGAAGAGGTTGCAGACTGGGGTTGTTTTCCTTAGAATGGAAATTTGAGGGGGTGGAATATGATTGAGATAAAGCGATATAAGGGAAGGTGCAGAAAGTTTAGAGGAGACGTGCAGAAATTGGGAGACAGATTAAAGCAGGCAGTCGCTATACAGGGAGATTGCCATGAAAGCAGTGAGTTTATGGTGTTAAATTTTTGATTAATATCAATAAATGCAAATGAAAACATATTTTTCAACTTTATTGAAAAGCTGCTGATTCACATCACATGCTGTCAGACCATGAGTATATTTCATGTGGATCTATTCATGCTGTAAATGAGACACACTGTGGCTCAGGATCAGATGGAGATGGGACACAGGTACAATGTGTATTGTAGCCTGTCCCTAAACAGCAGACCATTCATGAACCACGAGCAGAGATTGTGTTCACACTTTAATGAATGTGACTAGTGCAGGGCCCTAGGCTCAGCTATTTTAGTGTTCACTGTGCTTGCTGCTGCTCCTTCAGGCTGCTGTCAGTGTAGTGTGGGTGCAGCAACAGGAGAATGCAGCATTAACCTTGTGTGTGACAGAAACTGCCCTGGTGAAGGAGTTTCTGAGAGAAGAATGTCCTGAATGGTTGCACTGAGTTTTTACAGTGCACTGAGGGATATTTGAATTGACCTGTCTCAAAAGGTTCATCAGCCCGTGTGCCAGTACACACAGATGTGACAGGGCTTTCTCAGTTTATAGCATTTCTCCAATATACAGGTTAGTTCTGAACTGCTGTTGAATCTGTGGTTGCTGACTGAGCCAGTGAGACCCCACCCAGATCACAGGAGTGTCTAGAAAAGGGGGGGAAACCAGTCTCCTGCTGGCACATTGGTGTGGGTCGCTAGAGAGAGAGAGTGCAGCTTGGTTACTGACGCCAGTCAGCAGCAACCCCCTCCCCCCACTTCTAAGTGCCTGTCTGAGAGCTAGCACAGACTACTCACATTGGACATAGCCCTTCCAAGCATCTGTTGCCTTGCCCCAATCCACCCACTAATAGTGCTAGCAATGAGCTTCACCCCCACTTGAATATCAAGGTTGTATTGCTGTTGTGGATTCCTGCTCCAGGACTTCCCTTGGTCAGCTGTGACCTACTGGTTGGGAGGGAGGTGAGGTGGGAAGTATCACGAGAGCTGGCTTGTGAGGAAATTCCTGCAAGTTTGGCTTTGAAATCAACGGCTGGCCTCTTCCTGTGCCACATCATGTCACCAGCTTGTTGCTGAGCTCTCCTCATCGTTCCAGGTTGAACCTCTGCATTGCAGTGTGAGGAAGACGGGAGAAGAGGGAAGGAGGGAACCACTGGGTTTGCAATGTCTCCTGTAAACAATACTGTTTAATGATATGAACAGACAGTGAAATGAGGAAATGGGCAACTTGCCTTTTCCACCACTATGGAGTTATTAAGCTAATCCGGTGTGTAAGAGGAGTGGGAGAGTTCAGGGAAACAGTTGCTATTTGGGATTATTTCAGTTTGATATGGCCAGTCAGCCTCTGGTACAGGGGTTAGATCCTGCAGTGAGAGCCCAGAGACTCCAGGCTGGTACATTGGGAACAAGTGTCAGACACCTACAGGAATCCATTGCAAACAGGTGCAGAGCAACATGTCTGGATAGACCACAGGAGCTGCAGATACTGAGAGATTAGAGACTGAGGAGGAAAAGTCAGCAGTCTCATTTTGGACTGCATTAAAGTTGAAAGGAGCCTGAGGTCCAATAAAAACTCATAAAGCCCTTCTGTGAATGAACTGAGTACCTATCATAAAGTGACTGATTGGATTCCAGCATTTGGAAGGAGAACATATTCTCAATTTTCATATCAGAGGGACTCTCGTGTCAGGCCAGTCCCTGTGCAGGCACCAAGATTGTGTTCACAATAAGAGTTTTTGCCAGTGATGCAACTGGAGATACTGAAAACAAAGCCAGCTCTGACTGTCCTGAGTTAGGTCACCAAGTGACTGTGCATACTGGCCTTCCTTCTCAGGTCTGCTCCTTGTGCCACGTCTCAGTGGGCTCGTGCTTCGGCCTTTACCCGTAGATTTCTCCAATACTGAAAAGGGTTTGAAAGTCTCTTCCAAGACTTCGGAGTGCCTGTCCTCTCCCATTCCTGTAAAATGCAGTGGTTCTTTGTCTTGTTTTGCATTTGTACACGGTGGGTAAGATGGCGGCGGGGGGAGGGAAGAGGGGTGGGAGTGGCGAGTGCTTTGTCCCAATCTCCTGTTGGTCCTTACTGAAATTATGGCTCAGCTGTCTCTGCAGGTTGAGGCAAGCTCTGACCAGCTAACTCACTGAGTGGGGAAGTGTGGAGAGAGTCTGCAGTCACTGCTTAAAGTACTTGCTTGTCCAGGGAAGGAGTCCATGTCACCTGCTGCTTGGCCTGTGCAGTATAACTCTGCTGGAGAACAAGAAGAAACTCATTCATTTCCTGTTCAAGATCACAAAGCTCAATAACAAAAATAAACATTACACTACAACAGAATAATAACCAGGAAATTTTACTTCAACTCTCCTCTCACTCTTGTCTCTCTTCTTCCCATTGCTTGTTCATAATCTCTACGTCTCCTTCCCTGGATCAATCAATCATACATGAGAGAAGGTAGCTATCATGTCTGTGAAAGAGGATATCGATTTCCTCCCATCCACTTTAGAAACCTAGGAGGAGACCAGTCAGCCCTTTAAGACTGCTGTGCCATTCAATATGGTCATGGCTGATCACCCAACTAAATACCCTGTTTCCTCTTTCTCTCTTTGGTCCTTTTAGCTCCGAGATCTATACTGAAATCCTTCCTCAAAACATTTAATGTTTTGGCCTCAATTGCTTTCTGCAGCAGAGAATTCCACAGGCTCCCCAAATGGGTGAAGACATTTCTCTTTATCTTCGTCCAAAATGTGGATGTGCCAGTGTTAGCCTGGGTTGGACAAGGTCAGAACTCACTCCACCTGATGAAGGTGCTCTGAACGTTTGTGATTTCAAATAAACCTGTTGGACTATAACCTGGTGTTCTGTGACTTGTGACCTTAGTCCAAAATTGTTCACTCCATATCTTTAAACTGCGACCCATAGTTCTGAATTCACCTGTCCTTTTTGCATTTACCCTGTCTCATCCTGTTAGGATTTTATAGGTTTCAATGGAATACCCCTTCATTCTTCTAAATTCCAGTTTAGCCCGAAGTGGCGAATCAGTCAGGCAATCAACAGGCTTTCCACACAGCCCTGCAAATTTATTTTCAAGACGTTATCTAATTCCTTTTTGGACGTTATGATTGAATCTGGTGTCATGACCCTTTCAGATCATTGGAACTCACTTCATAAAACCACATAAACATACCATTAGGAGCAGGAGTAGGCCATTCAGCCTGCTCTGCCTTTTGATGGAGATGATGGCTGATCTAATTGTGGCCTCAGCTCCACTTTTCTATAACCTTTGACTCCCTGTTGACTGTAATTATCAAACTATGGCTCCTAGTTCTACACTGTCCAATCGGAGGAAATATCCTCCAGCACCCATTCTGTTAAGATTGCTCAGAATCTGAGGTTTCTACAAGATCATCTCTCATTCTTCTAAACTCCAATGGCCATAAGTCCAACATTTAAGTGCAACAACTCTAGCTAAATATGCCTACTTCTTCATTGCACTTGCACCAAATAAAATAAGCACCATCATTTTATTTATCTTCCTAATTGCTTCTTGTATCTGTGCATTAACTTCTTGTGATTCATGTACACTGTTTTTCTATTTTTGTCAAAATGGAAAAGTTCACTTCTTCCCACATTGTGCTTCATCTGCCAGGTTTGTCCCTTAGCCTGTCTATAACCTTTTGCCCCTTGTCCTCTTCAAAATTTACATGTTCTCACATCATCTGTAAACTGAGCAAGTACTCCAGCATTGATTTCTGTGACATCCCACCCTTGCCAACCCAAAAATTACATCTTGCCAAACCATTTATCCTTATTGTCAGTTTCCTGGTGGTTCGCTATTCTTCTCTCCAGACCTTGGACTCTTGCTTTGTATGTAAAATGTGTGGGCCTGTATTAAAAGCCTTCTGTAAATTCAACTACATCACATTTACATTCCCCTCTATGGGGAACTTTGCACTTGCTCAAAAAACTCTAATGAAATTGGTCAAGCACACACAGTCTTTCACAAAACCTTATTGTCTCTGCCTGATGGTATTGAGATTGTCTAACTGTCCTGCTATAACCTCCTTAACAACAGTATTTTCCCTGACAGATGTTAGGCTAACCAGTCTGTAGCTTTCTGCTTTCTGTCTCTCCTTTCTTCAATAGAGGAGTTACATTCATTACCTTCCAATCTGACAAGATCCTTCTGAATCTCAATCATTTTAGGAAATTAAAACTAACACATCTATTTTCTCTGTAGTCACTTCTTTTAACAGCTTAGGCTGAAATCCATCAGGACCTAGGACTCATCAACTTTTAGTTCCAATAATCTCTTCAGTCGTCTTTTCCTGGTGATTGTAGTTGTTTTAAATCCCTCTTTCCTGATTTCTGGGATGTTGTTTGTACAGTGAAGGCACATGTAAAACAACTGTTCAATTCATCCATGATATCCTTATTTTCCATTATTGATTCACCACTTTCTCTCTCTAGACAAACAACGCTCAATGTACTCTTTATAAATACTTGGAGTTACACTTACTAGCTGTTCACAAGTTTTGTCTCTCAAACTTGCTACTGACCCCAAGAAACTGTCCCCAAAACACACCATCAGCTCATTATCCAGGTTACCTTTGTTACAAATCCATATGCAAATTGACATCACCCCCAATTATGAGAATCATAGAGTTCTACAGCACAGAGACAGGTCCTTTGGCCCAAACTGGTCCACGCTGACCAAAACGTTCATCCACACTAAGCCTATTTCCCTGCACTTGGCCCAAATACTTCTAAACCTTTCCTATCCATGTATTCATCCAAATGCCTTTTAAATGTTGTTAATGTACCCGCCTCAACCAGCTCCGCTGGCAGCTCATTCCATATGTGTACCACCCTCTGTGTAAAACAGTTGCTCCTCAGGTTCCCATGTATTCTTTCCCCTAGTACCTTTGTTAGCCAGGGGCTGCAGAGAGAGAGAGGCAGGCAGACAAGCTGCTGACATTGCTGCCTGGGAGATGCTGACCAGAGGCTGTAGAGAGAAAGATGGAGAAAGGGGTGCCAGTCACTGATATCGCTAACAGGAGATACTCAGGTTTTGAGTGAAGATTTGTAGTTCGGGTGCTGATTGTAGATGTTGGTGTGTTCGCCGAGCTGGGAGGTTTGACAGCAGACATTTCATCCCCTCACTAGGTGACATCCTCAGTGCTGTGGAGCCTTCTGTGAAGCGCTGTTGTCTTGTGCCGGTTTAAATAGTACAGGAACTCCACACTTACTGACCAGGTCTTAAACAATCATAGCAACCACCCCAACTCACACAAGAGGAGTTGCGTTAGGACCCTGTACAGAAGGGCTGCTACACACTGCAGCTACACACTGGAGAAGGAAGAACAACACCTCGACAAGGTCTTCACATGGAATGGATACCCCCACAATTTCATCTACATATACCTAGACAACAGACAACACAACCAGGACATACCAAAATCCGAAACAATAACCGCCACACTATAGATCAAAAAACACCTCCGAACTGACAGCCAGACTACTCGGACCACTAGGAATCATGATAGCACACAAACCGACAGCTACACTAAAACAGCAACTAACCAGGGTTAAAGACCCAATAGATACCATGGACAGAACGAATGTGGTTTACAAGATATCTTGTGGAGACTGCACAAAACACCACGTGGGACAAACAGGCAGACAATGAGCAACCCGCATCCACAAATACCAGCTAGCAACTAAACGACACGACCAGATGTCCTTGGTTTCAATACATGCAGTCGAGAAAAACCACACTTTCAACTGGGACAACACTACTATCATAGGACAAGCCAAACAGAGGCCAGCCAGGGAGGTTTGGCATTCATCCGCAGACTCCATCAACAAACACATTGAATTAGACCCGATATGCCGACCTTTACCATGCATAGCCGGAACCGGCACCTACTGGGAGCAGTGAAAATCAGATCATATAAATTCAAACCGGCACAAGACAACAGCACTTCACAGGAGGCTCCACAGCACTGAGGATGTCACCTAGTAAGGGGATGAAACGTCTGCTATCAAACCTTCCAGCTCGACGAACACACCAACATCTACAACACGAGCCACTTGGTGCCAACCAAGTTCCGCAAAAAGAGTAAGTAATGCAAAAGCCTATTTGGACGAGGGACAATGAGGTAATGCTACCTAAGTCTCCCGTCCGGGCATAATAAAGTGCAATAATTGAATTAGCCTGAGCCAACAGGAAAAAGACAACATGACTTGAGAAAGATAAGGAAAAAGGATAAAAGAAGACCTTAGGGCATTGCAGCCAGCGAAAACTCCGGAGATCAACTTCCGCAGAAACGCACCCCTGATCAGGGACACGGTGATGACATTGAGTGCAGCGTCTGGTTAACATCAGTCCTAGGCAGCCACAGTAGCTATTCTGCACAGGTATTAGCTTTTACATTCTGTGATTATTCTGGAGGTGTTAGTAGTCTTTTATGGGCGTACTAATAGGTTCTAGTTCTTTTGGGAAAACCTATGAGTTACTTGTATATTGTCTAATGTATAAGCCATACATGTACCTTTCGTAAATAAAAGAGATTAGTGAGTTACAGTAAAAGCAATCTTCTCCTCTCTGTATGAGCTTGTCAGCTTCAATGCCTTAAACTGATGCCCTCTAGTCTTGATTCCACAACCCTGGGAAAAAGACTGAGTGAATTCACCCTATCCATGCCTCTCATGATCTTATACATTTCTTTAAGATCCCACCTCAGTCTCCTATGCTCTAAAGAAAAAAGTCCTAGCTTGTCCAGCATCTCCCTATAACTCAGTCCCTTGTGTCCTGGTAACATCCTTGTAACATCCTTGTAAATTTCTTCTGCCCTCTTTCCAGTTTAATTACATTCTTCCTATAGCAAGGTGACCAAAATTGAACACAATACTCCAAGTGTGGCCTCACCAACGTCCTGTACAACTGCAATATAATTTCCCAACTTCTATACTCAATGCTCTGACTGATGAAGGCCTGTGTACCAAAAGCCTTCTTCACTGCCCTGTCTACTTGGGACTCCACTTTCAGAGAACCATGCACCTGAACTCCAAGGTCCCTCTGTTCCACTACACTCCTTAAAGGCCCTACCATTCACCATAAAACTCGTACCTTGATTTGACTTTCCAAAATAAAACACCTCAAACTTATCTATATTAAACTTAATTTGCCATTTCTTGGCCCACTTCCTCAGCTGATCAAGATCCTGCTGCAATTTTTGATAACCTTCCTGACTGTCCACGATACTGCCTACTTTAGTGTTATCTGCAAACTTATTAACTATGCCTTGTACATTCTCATCCAAATCACTGATATAGATAGTATTGCTATACATATGCCCTTTCCTACATTGTGCTCACTGTTAGGCAGGCAACAAACTACTCCTGAAAATGACTCCTTACTTTTTCTATTTCTTGACCAAATCTGATTCTAAATAATGATCTTTCAACCTTACATCCTCGCCAACTAACGTACTAATGTCATTCTTCCTTAATGTTGCTACCCCACCACCAGTTCCTAGTTTCCTGTCTTTCCAAAATGTTACCCATCCTTAAAGATGCCAATGCCAGAAACCATTATCTTGTAGCCAAGTCTTTGTAATGGTGATCAGATCATACATGTTTATTCATATTTGAGTTGTTGCGTTATGCATGCTCCATGTATTCCAAATACAGAGCCTATAGTTTAGTCTGTTACTATTTCCGCAATCCGTGGACTTCTCTCCTTCTGCACACTAATGTTTGTTTACTCATAGAACCCCTACAGTGTGGAAACAGGCCCTTTGGCCCAACAAGTCCACACCGGTCCTCAGAGCATCCCATCTAGACCAACCCCCTATAACACACCTAATCTACACATCCTTGAACACTACAGGCAATTTAGCCTGCACATCTTTGGACTGCGGGAGGAAACCGGAGCAAACTCCACACAGTCACCTGAGGGTGGAATTGAACCCAGGTCCCTGGTGCTGGGAGGCAGCAGTGCTAACCACTGAGCCACCGTGCCGTACTCTGTCCCTTCCAGCCACACTCTGGTTATCATCACATCTCTGACTCTCTTGCCTTCTCCTTTCTCTTTAATTCATCACAACTTATAGATTCATAAATTCACACAGTGGAGAAAAGGCCCTTCAGCCCATCGAGTCTGCACCAACATAAATATCACTCCAAGTGCATAAATCCCAATATCCTGCACTTGTCCCATATTCTTGAAGGTAATGATATTTGAAGTGCTCATCCAAATATTTTTTAATGGTTGTAAGATTTCCGGCCTCCACTACTTTCCCAGGGATTGCATTCCAGAGTCCCACCACCTGCTGTGTGAAAAAGTTTTTGTTTCTAAATCTTCTCCGAATCTCCTTTCCCTTACCCTAAAACAATACCGTCTCATAATTAACCCTTCAACCAAGGGGAACAGCTGCTCTCTATTCATTCTGTCCATACCCTCATAATCTTATTCACCTCAATCATGTTCCTACTCAGTCTGTTCTGCTCTAAAGAACACAATCCAAGTCTGTCTGTACTGATCCTCCTGGTATCCTCTGGACACTGACCTCCAGTCATTTGAACAGCCTTCTCCCACTACACCTTATGTCCTATTACTAAGCTAGTTTCAAATCCATCTCGCCAAGTTTCCCTCAATTCTGTATAAAAACCGAAAGAACTGCGGATGATGTAAATCAGGAACAAAAACAAAATGCTGGTAAAGCTCAGCAGGTCTGGCAGCATCTGTGAAGAAAAAATCAGAGTTAATGTTTCAGGTCCGGTGAACCTTCCTCAGAAGCAAGTGTTCTGAGATGGGTCACCAGACCTGAAACGTTAACTCTGTTTTCTCCCTTCACGGATGCTGCCAGACCTGCTGAGCTTTTCCAGCAACTTTGTTTTTGTTCCCTCAATTCTATGTTCTTTAACCCTCTCAGTCAGTCTTCCATGTGGGACCTTGTCAAATACTTTGTTAAATTCCATATAAACTACACCAACTGAACTTCCCTCATCCACACACTTGATCATATTTTCAAACAAATCCTAACAAATTTGTTAGGCATGATCTCCCTCTGACAAAAACCATGCTGACTATCCCTAACTAACCCATGCTTTTCCAAGTGGGTAGTAACTTGCTCCTTCAGAATGTTCTCCAATAGTTTCCCTACCACTGACAAGAGATTCACCGTTCTGCAATTTCCTGGCTCATTTCTACCATCCTTCATAAAAAGTGGAACCACCATTTGCCGTCCTCCAGTCCCCTGGCACTTCCCCTGTGTCCAGAGCCGAATTACAAATGTGTCAGAGCTCCTTCGATTTCCTGCCTCAGCCTCCCACAGGAGCCTGGAATGCAATTCATCCAGGCCGGGGGATTTGTCTGTTTTTAAGCCCGACAGAGTCTCCAATACCTCCCCATTTGCTGTGTCAAAATGTGCAAGTTCATCACAGTCCCTTTTCCTGAATTCTGTACCTATGTTCTCCTTTTCCAGAGTGAAGACCAAAGAGAAGAATTCATTCAATACTCTTTCAATATCTTGCAGCTTTACATACAGATTGCCCTCTTGGTCTCCAATGGGTCCTATCCTTTCTCTGGTTAACCTCTTCCCTATAATACCTTTATAAAATACCTTAGGATTCTCCCTAATCCTATTTGCAAGAACTTTCTCATGCTCCCTTTTTGCTCTTCTAATTGCTTTGAAGCCGACTTTACCATCCTTATTCAACAGTTCACCAGAACACTGCTCCGTAGTTCATGGATCGACTGGTTTACTGGTACAGGTCTCACGTTCCCCAGTCCCAGTGCCAGTGCCCCATGAATCGAAGTACGTTTCTGCCACACCAGCCTTTGAGCCATACATTCAACTCTTTAGCCGGCTCATGACTCAGATAATAATTTAGAAAAAATCCAGCTCCTAACTGTTCCTACTCTCTAAGCAGCACTTCTTTCTCAGGATGTTGGTGTCATGACCACTACGTTCAGTCCAGTCCTGTGCAGATATCCTGGTACCATGCAGGCAACACAGCTGTCTGTACTGTTGCTTTCATTGTCAGAATGGAGTTTACCACCACCACCTCCCCCCATTGGCCCCTAACCAAACTGCCCGTTATTACAGCTATTATTTGGTCTCTTTATTTGAATGGCTTCCTGTACCATAGTTGACTCATCTACCTTGCAGTCCTTGCTCTCTTCCGGACAAGCTTCAAGAAATATGATCCTGTGGGATAATTACAAAGGCTGAGGTTTCTCCACTTCTACCTTCTTGACTTCTATTCCAGCTTGACTCGCAGCTCTGTCTACACTGTACCCCCCATCAAACACTCCTAGGTCAGGTACAGTACGGTGTTAGATACTGAGTAAAAGCTTCCTCGACACTGTCCCTATCAAACACTTGCAGCAAGGTACAACAATGGACCATGGAATAATAGAGTCATTTACAGCACAGAAGGGGGCTATTCAGCCCATCTGGTCCATTCTAGCTTTCTGTAGGTCAGTCCAGTCAGTCTGCTTTTGCTCTCAATCTCTGTGAGATTAATTCCCTCGAAGTCTCCATCCAATTTCCTTTTCAAAATTATTCCCCATCTCCAATCTCCCCACCCCCTAACTCATGGGCAGACAACTCCAGGTCATTAGCAGTCACTGTGTAAAATATTCACACTCCCTCCATATCTCCTGACTAAGACTGTGTTTCCATGATTTGCTGAGGGGAATGGTTTTTCTTTGTGTACTATATCTAAAACGGTCATAATCCTTCCCACCTCAATCAGACTTCCCCTCAATCACCGTTACTCTGAGTAGAACAGTCCCAGCTTCTCCAACAGAACTTTGTAGCTAAATTCCTTCATCCTTGGACCCATTCTTGTGATTCTCCTCTGCACCCTCCTGAAGACCTTCACATCCTTCCTAAAGTGTGGGGACCAGAACGGAGACCTAAATGGAGCTTAGTACACTCAGTATAAACTCCCTGCTTTTGTTTTCAATGTCCCTATTTACAAAGCATTCATGACTTTAATACAGAACGAAGCCATTGTGTCTCAGTCCTGTAAGGGGGTCAAGGGTTACAGCAGGAAAGCCAAGGATGTGGGATTGACACCAAAATTAGATTAGCCATGACATTACTGAGTGGTGCAAAAACTTGAGGGACTCTTGACCCTGCTCTTGTTCCTATTGCTGTGATCTGAGCTCAATGTGTGACTGCATTGGAACAGTCTGATCTGGCTACAATGTACACTCCTTACGGTTGCTGTGGACCATTTCTCCAGTGTGCTGTGAGCTTGTTATGTGGTGCCAGAAGGCACTGCGGGGCAGCACGGCACTAGCTGCAGATGGGAAGTGCTCCACTTCTGTACTCTTGTTTAATATCTGCAAAACACAACAAATACAGTGACATGAAACCAGCTCCATATGGGGACAGTTGGCCGATGTAGACTCAGACACTAAATTAAACATTACGTCACCAGATGAACTGGACTGTCATTACACACTGAATAATATATTTCATTTATCAAACATAGAGAAATTCCATTGTTATTATCAGAGGGAGAGGGAAAATAACAAAGAGATATCAGCAAGAGGAAGGAAATGATTGTTTGATGCATTTAACCCCTTAACCAAATCAGGGGTCACACCGAATTTTATTTTCATCAATTTCGATCATAGTCCATTCAATCGAGGCTGACCAGGGCACTTCATTTCATGAAATGTACATCCTGTGCCATTTGAGAAATCCAGGATGTTTCCTGTGTCGAGTCAGGCTTAAGAACATCAATAACATAGGATTCTCTAAGCAAGAGTGAGCATAACATTTCAGAATTTCACATTCAATTTAAGGGTGAGAAATGAGAGTCGGAAACTTAATTAAAGGCAATATCAAAGGTAAGAAGATAGAACCCACAAGATTATCTGAAAAACTAAATTGGTTCATCAATATCTGGAAAAAAAACTCTATTTACATCTTCAGAAATGGGGGAGGGGAAGGGGATTCTGAAATAAATAGGGAGAGGGGGGAGGCAGATAGAAGATGGATAAAGGAGAAGATAGGTGGAGAGGAGACAGACAGGTCAAAGAGGCGCGGTTGAAGCCAGTAAAGGTGAATGTAAGTGGGGAGTTAGGGAGGGCAAAAGTCGGTCTAGGGAGGAGAGACAGGTCAAGGAGGCGGGATGAGGCTAGTGGGTAGGAGATGGGGGGGGGGCTTGAGATGGGAGGAATGGTTAGGGAGGCGGGGTCGAGCTGGGCTGGTTTTGGGATGCAGTTGGGGGAGGGGAGATTTTGAAGCTTGTGAAGTCCACATTGATACCCTTGGGCTGCAGGGTTCCCAAGCGAAACATGAGATGCTGTTCCTGCAGCCTTCGGATGGCATCGTTGTGGCAATGCAGGAGGCCCAGGATGGACATGTCGTCCAAGGAGTGGGAGGGGGAGTTGAAATGGTTCGCGACTGGGAGGTGCAGTTGTTTGTTGCAAACCAAGCGTAGGTGTTCCACAAAGCGGTCCCCAAGCCGCCGCTTGGTTTCCCCGATGTAGAGGAGGCCACAACGGGAACAGCGGATACAGATGTGCATGTGAACATCTGTTTGATGTGGAAGGTCTTCTTGGGGCCTGGGATGGGGGTGAGGGGGGAGGTGTAGGGGCAGGTGTAGCACTTCCTGCAGTTGCAAGGAAAAGTGCCGGGTGTGGTGGGGCTGGAGGGGAGTGTGGAGCAGACAAGAGAGTCACAGAGAGAATAGTCCCTCCGGAAAGCGGATAAGGGTGGTGAGGGAAAAATGTCTTTGGTAGTAGGGTCGAATTGCAGATGGCGGAAGTGTCGGAGGATGATGCGTTGCATCCGGAGGTTGGTGGGGTGGTACATGAGGATGAGGGGGATTCTGTTTTGGTTGTTATTGCGGGTAGGGGGTGTGAGGGATGAGTTGCGGGAAATGCGAGAGACATGGTCGAGGATCCACCCTACTACCACCCCCGGCACTTCTCCCTGCAACCGCAGCAAGTGCTACAAGTGCTACAACTGCCCATACACCTCCCCCCTCACACCTACACCTGCACATCTGCTAATGTGGTATACTATATCTGCTGTTCCCGTTGTAGCCTCCTCTACATCGGGGAAACCAAGCGGAGGCTTGGGGACCGCTTTGTGGAACACCTACGCTCGGTTCGCAATAAACAACTGCACCTCCCAGTTGCGAACCATTTCAACTCCCCCTCCCACTCCTTGGACGACATGTCCATCCTGGGCCTCCTGCATTGCCACAACGATGCCACCTGAAGGCTGCAGGAACAGCATCTCATATTTCGCTTGGGAACCCTGCAGCCAAGGGTATCAATGTGGACTTCACAAGCTTCAAAATCTCCCCTCCCCCAACCGCATCCCAAAACCAGCCCAGCTCGTCTCCGCCTCCCTAACCATTCCTCCCACCTCAAGCCCCACCCCCATCTCCTACCCACTAGCCTCATCCCGCCTCCTTGACCTGTCCGTCCTCCCTGGACTGACCCATGCCCTCCTTAACTCCCCACCTACATTCACCTTTACTGACTCCAACCCCGCCTCTTTGACCTGTCTGTCTCCTCTCCACCTATCTTCTCCTTTATCCATCTTCTATCTGCCTTTCCCTCTCTCCCTATTTATTTCAGAATCCCCTTCCCCTCCCCCATTTCTGAAGAAGGGTCTCGACCCAAAACGTCAGCTTTCCTGCTCCTCTGATGCTGCTTGGCCTGCTGTGTTCATCCAGCTCTACACCTTGTTATCTCAGATTCTCCAGCATCGGCAGTTCCTACTATCTCTACTTACATCTTTTAGACTGCAGTGGACTGGGAAACTAGGTGAAGATGGTGGGGAAGAAGGGGCAGACCTTTATGGAGATATTCCAAAATTCTCCACAAAGCGTAATTGAATTGAGAATGAAAAGTTCCATGAGAGGGAGAAAAGCATCCGTGGCTAGTTAAGGAAGCTAAAGGAGTTAAAGAAAAGGTAAATAATATTGTGAAGGTTTAATGCTAGAGCAGTTTTAGGAACAAAGAGAGGATGACTAAAAATAGATTACTGGAGTAAACTGGCAACAAATGTAAAACCAGCTACAAAAGAGCTTCTATAGTATGTACAATGGAAGAAAGCATCTAAAGTATATATTAGTCTCTTAGAGGATGGGACTGTGAGATGGAAAACACATTGTACAAGTATTCCGATTCCATTTTCATAGCACACAACACAATTAATATTCCCAAAACAAAAATGAGGGGGGAAAAGACAGGGTTAAACTGGGTCAAAAAAGCAGGTGGTGGCATAGTGAGAATGTCACTGATCTGAAACTACGGGTCAATGCTCTGGAGAGTGTGGATTTGAATGCTACCACAGAGTAACTCAAATCATTAACCAAGAACTGAGGGTCAGTCCGATAATGACCATGAAACCAATGTTGAATGTCTATCTGGATTACTGATGTCAATTTCAGGATGTCAAACTGTATTCAGTGAAGTGCCAATGGCTTCAGTGCTGGTCACTCAAGTATAAATAATCTATATTCATGACTTGGATGCAGGGATTGGACTGTATGTTACCAAGTTTGCTGACAATCTAATCATAGGTGGAGAGCAAATAGGGTAGAGCCTGCAAAGAGATATCAATAAGTTAACATGGAAACAGATTTTCAGTTAGCCATAGGTGAGGCACTGGAAGACTGGAGGATAGTGAATGTTGTGCCCTTATTCAAGAAGGGCTGTAAAGAAAAACCTTGGAATTTTAGACCAGTAAGCTTAACATATGGGGTAGGTAAGTTTCTTGAGAAGATTCCAAGGGATAAGATATACATGCGTTTAGGTTTGATTAGGAGTAGTCAACATGGCTTGGTGCATGGGAGATCATTCCTCACAAATTTGTTAGAGTTCTTTGATAAAGGTTGATCAGGGCAGGGCAGTAGATGTAGTCTACATAGATTTCAGTAAGACCTCAGTAAGGTTCCAGATGGTAGGCTGCTCTGGTAGGTTAGATTGCATGGAATCCAGAGAGAGCTGGCAAATTGGACACACAATTGGCTTGCTGGTAGGAAGCAGAGAGTAATAGTGGAAGGATGCTTGTCAGACTGGAGGCCTGTGACTAGTGATGTGCCTCAGGGGTCGATGCTGGGCCCAATGCTGTTTGTTATCTATATCAATGATTTGGATGAGAATGTACAAGACATGATTAGTAAGCTTGCGGGTGACACTAACACAGGTGGTATCGTGAACAGTGAGGAAGATTATCAGAAATTGCACCAGGATCTTGCTCAGTGAAGGAAATGGGCCGAGAAATGGCAATTGGAGTCTAATATAGAGAAGGGTGAGGTATTGCATTTTGGAAAGTCAAATCAAGGTACGAGTTTCATGGTGAATGGTACGGCCTGAAGGAGTGTAGTGGAACAGAGGCAACCTTGGAGATCAGTTGCATGGTTCTCTGAAAGTGGAGTCCCAGGTAAACAGGGGAGTGAAGAAGGCTTTTGGTACACTGGCCTTCATCAGTCAGGGCATTGAGTATAGAAGTTGGGAATTTATGTTGCAGTTGTACAGGACTTTGGAGAGGCCGCACTTGGAGTATTGTGTTCAGTTTTGATCACCTTGCTATAGGATATTATTAACCTGGAAAGATTGCAGAATAAATTTACAAGGATGTTGCCAGAACTCAAGGGACTGAGTTACAGGGAGAGGTTGGACAAGCTAGGGCTTTTTCCTTTAGACCGTAGGAGACTGAGGGGGATCTCACAGAAGTGGTTAGCACTGCTGCCTCACAGTGCCAGGGACCCGGGTTCAATTCCACCCTCGGATGACTGTCTGTGTGGAGTTTGCACGTTCTGCCCGTGTCTGTGTGGGTTTCCTCCGGGTGCTCTGTTTTCCTCCCACAGTCCAAAAATGTGCAGGCAAGGTGGATTAGCCATGCTAAATTGTCCATAGTGCTCAGGGATGCGTAGATTAGATGGGTTACGGGGGATAGGTCTGGGTGGGATGCTGTGAGGGTCGGCATGGACTTGATGGGCCGAAGGGCCTGTTTCCACACTGTAGGGATTCTATGATCTATGTATAAGATCATAAGAGGCATGGATAGGATGAACACACTCAGTCTTTTTCCCCAGGGTTGGGGAATCAAGGACTAGAGGGCATCAGTTTAAGGTATGAGGGGAAAGAACACATGGGAACCTGAGGGGCAACTTTGTTTTACACAGAGGGTGATACACATATAGAATGAGCTGCCAGCGAAAGTGGTTGAGGCGTATACATGAACAAATTTAAAAGGCATTTGGATGAATACATGGATAGGAAAGGTTTAGAAGGATATGGGCCAAGTGCAAGGAAATGGGCTTAGTGTGGATGGACATTTTAGTCGGCATGGACCCGTTTGGGCTGAAGGGCCTTTCTCCATGTTGCAGGACTCTATGACTCTAAGCTGGAGTAAGCCAAAATTCAGACTGTCAAGCCTGCTGTGCCATTCAATGTGATCAAGGTTGGTCATCCAACTTAGTCCCCTGTTCATGTTTTCTCTCCATACTCTTTGATCCCTTCTTGAAAACATTCAACCACTTCCTATGGCAGAGAATTCAACAGACTCACCATTCTCTGTGTGAAGAGATTTCTCCTCATCACTTTTTCTTTGACTGTGAGCCCTGGTTCTGGACTCCCTGGTCATCAGGAACATATTTTCTGTGTTTACCCTGTCGCATCCCGTTAGAATTTTATAGGTTTCTATGAGATCACACCTTCTAAATTCATCCAAGCATTTGTCAGGACTCAAGTGAATGAATGGTTCCTGGGATTGACAGGGTTTGTCCTATGAGGAGAGTGTGAGTAAATAGGGCCCCTCCTGTTTGAAGTTTGTAAGAATGAAAGGTATTCCCATTGAAATTAGTTAAATATTGGGAGTGCTTGACAAAATAGATGCTAACAGGCTGTTTCAGCTATGGTAGCATTGAGATGAGGATTACATATTTAGAATTTATGGCACAGAAACAAGCCATTCAGCCCTACATGTTTATGGTCCCTTCAAGCCTCTTACCATCTTTTCTCAGCTAAATGTACCATTTTATCCCTTGATTCCCTTCTCCCTCTTGTGATAATCTGCTTCACTTTAAACCATCAACATTATTCACTCCAACATTCTATGGGAGCGAGTTCTCCATTCTCACCACTCTTTGGGTGAAGATTTTCCTCTGAACTGCCCACTGGATTTCTTGGTGACTATTCTAGATTGGTCACCTCCAGCCTTGCTCTTCCTCATGTTCTCTCTGTATAGAGTTATAGAATCATAGAGTTATGTAGCACGGAAACAGACCCTTTGGTCCAACTTGTTCATGCCGACCAGATAGCCTAAATTAATCTAGTCCTTTCATCCAGCATTTGGCCCATTTCCCTCTAAACCCTTCCTATTCATGTACCCATGATGCCTTTTAAATGTTTTAATTGACCAGCCTCCACCACTTCCTCTGGCAGCTCATTCCATACACGCACCACTCTATGTGAAAAAGTTGCCCTTTTTAAAATCTTTCCCCTCTCACCTTAAACCTATGCCCTCTAGTTTAGAATTGCCCTATCCTAGGAAAAATACATTGGGCATCCACCCTATCTGTGCCCCTCATGATTTTATAAATCTCTGTAAGGTCACCCCTCAGCCTCCGACGCTCTGGGAAAATAGCCCCAGTCTATTCAGCCACTCCCGATAGTTCAAACCCTCCAATTTTCTCAAAATCCTTCATCATTTTAAAGAAGGATAGACTCAAAGAGCTGAATGGTCACCTTCTTTGAATCAATTAGGTCACCCTCTCACCCCCAACTCCCAATTACCTCTCCCCACCTACTCTCCAATGGAGATGGGAGACCTAGCATCAATCTTTTCCTGATGGGTACGAAACTTCCTCCCCCAGAGGGCTGGGACCCTTCCTTCCAGAGATGGTTGTGACCTTACCCAAAGCAGGTTGCAGAGGCCAAGTCCGTGTTCAAAGCTGGGATTGTAGATTGAAGCAAAGCAAGGGGATTGGACAGGGCAGTGAAACTGGAGAAAAACTTTGTTTACTGGTGGAGTCTGGATGGCTTCCATTAGCTTTGATTTCACATGAAGACCAGGAAGTTGCCTGTGGTTAATCTGCTCCAATCCTCTCACCACAATGTTCCGGAACATTCTGTGTACCATTGCCCTCTCTGTATGCTAGACTTCACAAAGATAGGTGGAGTTGTGGATATTATAGAAGGTTGTCAAAGGATACAGCAGAATATAGATCAGTTGTAAATATGGGTAGAGAAATGGCAGATGGTGTTTAATCCAGGCACGTGTGAGGTGTTGCACTTTGGGAGATCAAATATTAAGGGAAAGTATACAGTTAATGGCAGGACCCTTAACAGCATTGATGTACAGAAGGGATATTGGGGTCCTAGTCCATAGCTCCCTGAAAGTGGCCACGCAAGTAGATCGAGTGGTGAAGAAGGTGTATGGCATGCTTGCCTTTATTGGCCAGGGAATTGAGTACAAGAGTCAGGAAGTCATTGTACAGCTTGATAAAACTTTGGGTAGGCCATATTTAGAGTATTGCATTTAAATTCTGGTTGCCACATTATAGGAAGGACATGGAGGCTTTGTAGAGGGTGCAGAAGAGGTTTACCAGGATGCTGCCTGGATTAAAGGGTATGAACTATAAAGGAGAGGCTAGAAAAACTTGAGTTGTTTACTCTGGAGTGGTGCAGGCTGAGGGGAGACCTAAAAGAAGTTTATAAAATTATGAAAGACACAGATAGGCTTGACAGTCAGAATATTTTTGCCGGAGTCAAAATGTCTAATTCTGGAAGGGGAGCATTTAATGTAAGAGGGGGAAAATTCAAACGAGATGTGAGGGGCAAGTATTTTTTAAACACATTGAGTGGTAGTGCCTGGAACACATTGCCAGGAATAGTGGTGGAGGCAGATATGACATGGGTGTTTAAGGGGCTTTTATACAGAAACCAAGAAACAGGTGGTTATGGACCATGGGCAGGCAGAGGGAATTAATTTAACTTGGCACCATGTTTGGCACAACATTGTGGGCCAAAGGGCCTGTCCCTGTGCCATACTGTTCTATGTTCTATATGTTCTGGAAAGAGCTTGTACTGACTGTCATGTTCTTCTCCATGTCCAGGACCTTGAGTTTGTGTTGCTCTGCGATACGCAGAGTGGCTGTGTGAACCCGTTGATAAATCTCTTCCCCCTGCCTTGTCTGGAACGTGAACAATCCTTCCCCAGTGTCACACAAGCTGCAAAACATAAAGACACCATTCAGTCGGGGGAGCACTGGAGAGTTCATCACCATCCATAGAGACAGCAATGTCCACAGAGACAGACATTCCACTCTCCTCACCCTGATACCCCTCTGCTCCCCACCCCTCTGACCACATCCTGACCCCACTCCTGCTCCCATTCCCCATCCTCTCCCTCATCCTGATCCTGATTCTCCAACCCCAATCTGCTCCTGACATCTCCTCTTGTCTCCCAAAACCTCCTCTCCCCAATAACACCACTCCTCCCTCTCATCCATAAGCATCCCTTCCTGCCTCCCTCCTCAGCCAGACAACCCTCTCCCCTCCTTCCCTCCCCCCTTGTCTCTTCCACCTCCCCTCCTCACAACCCTAACTCCTCCCTCCTTTAACCTGTCATCCTGATCCCTCTGTTATCTCTCCCACCTATCTGCCCCTCCCACCTCACTGACCAATCCCCTCCACTGCCTACCTGCGCTCACCTATCACCATCCCACCTACCTTCCCCGGCCCCACCCCTCCTCTCTCTATTTATTTCCGAGCTCCCTTCCTTCTCCCCATTTTGAAGAAGGGTCCCGACCTGAAACGTCAACTTTCCTGCTCCTCTGATGCTGCCTGGCCTGCTGTGTTCCTCCAGCTCCCCACTGTGTTACCTATACCAACTCTCTCATGTTTTCATCTACACCATTTATGAATATCAAAAACAATTAGGGACGCAGCACAGATCCTTGTGGATGCTGAACACTCCAGTCACATAAATAGCCTCCTAGCACCACCCTCTGTTTCTCCACTAATTTTGGATCTGATTTGCCAAGTTATCCTGGATCCCATGAGCTTTTACCTTGTTTATCAGATTCCCATGTGGTACTTTGTCAAAGGACTTGCTGAAATCCATATAAACAAAATCAACTGCCCTATCCTCATCCAAACATTCAGTCACTTCCTCGAAAAACTCCACCAGATTTGTTAGGCATGATCTCCCTTTGATAAAGCTATGCTGACTATCTCTGATCAAACCTTGCTCCTCTAAATTTCTCTCCCTCAGAATTTTCTCCAATAATTTCCCTACCATAGATGTGAGACTCACTGATATGTAGTCCTCTGATCTATCTCTATCACCCTTCTTGTAAACCGCAGACAAAGCTTGTTTAAGAGACTTGACCAGATCTAGGTGGTGCCATACAAATGGAATATCTTTCCTTGAGAGTTCTTTTGGTGAAAATGCTTTGTCAGAAACATTTGCTTTATGTGGTGCGAGAAAGCTCAAAGCTCCAGGGCAAATCTGCAGGTTGTCTTTGTCCCTCCCTCTTCCCATGCCTTTGCCCAATACCCCTGGCCTCATTTCACCCCCTCAGCCTGTTCCCTCCATCCTCATGTCTTCTCCCCTCTCTCTTTGCCTTCTCCCGGTCTCCCCAATCCTCCTCCTCCTCCTCAGAGGTATGTTCTTACCGTCCAGCCTCGAAGGTGAAGCGTGTGTTATCACGGCCATATCTACGCAGCGAGCATAGCGGCCAGCTGAGCAGTTTGTTGCGTGTGTTGTGTATATCCCAGAGGTAGATGTTCTCGTGCGTGATCTGCATCATACACTCTCCGTAGACATCCAGGTTTGGGGAGGGGATGAGGTAAACATTGAAACGCTCTGTCAGGGAGACGACAAAGATCCAATCAGGACAAAGTGCTGGCCACCTCAATAACAACAACAACAATAATGCAAGCTACATTGACACAGAGACATCCACACCCCTTCACAAGATCCCAAATGGAGGACAGAAAGGATGGTGAAATGAAAAGTTTTTAATGAAGAAAAAAAATGGCAGCCAGTTTATGCAAAATAGGATCCAACAATCAGCATCTGTGAGGGTATGTGATGATCTGTGAGATTGTGGTGATCTGTAAAGATCCATAATGATCTATGAGGATCTATGATGATCTGTCAGAATTTGTAATGATGATCTAGAATGATTTGTCAATGACAGTGCAGGGAAGGTCATGTCTTACCAGCTTGATAGAATTCTTTGAGGAAGTAACAAAGTTGATAGATGAGGGAAGGGCTGTAGATGTCACATACATGGACTTCAGGAAGGCGTTTGATAAGGTTCCCCATGGTAGGCTGATGGAGGAAGTGAAGTCGCATGGGGTCCAGGGTGTACTAGCTAGATGGATAGAGAACTGACTGGGCAACAGGAGACAGAGAGTTGTAGTGGAAGGGAGTTTCTCAAAATGGAGAACTGTGACCAGTGGTGTTCCACAGGGATCCGTGTTGGGACCACTATTATTTGTGATAAATATAAATGATCTGGAGGAAGGTATAGATGGTCTGATTAGCAAGTTTGCAGATGACACTAAGATTGGTGGAGTAGCAGATAGTGAAGGGGACTGTCGGAGAATGCAGCAGAATCTAGATAGATTGGAGAGTTGGGTGGAGAAATGGCAGATGGAGTTCAATCTAGGCAAGTGCCAGGTGATGCATTTTGGAAGATCCAATTCAAGAGCGAACTATACGGTAAATGGAAAAGCCCTGGGGAAAATTGATACACAGAAAGATCTGGGTGTTCAGGTCCATTGTACCCTGAAGGTGGCAACGCAGGTCGATAGAGTGGTCAAGAAAGCATACGGCATGCTTTCATTCATCAGACGGGGTATTGAGTACAAGAGTTGGCAGGTCATGTTAAGTTGTATAGGACTTTGGTTCGATCACATTTGGAATACTGCATACAGTTCTGGTTGCCACATTACCAAAAGGATGTGGATGCTTTGGAGAGGGTGCAGAGGAGGCTCACCAGGATGTTGCCTGGTATGGAGGGCGCTAGCTATGAAGAGAGGTTGAGTAGATTAGGATTATTTACATTAGAAAGACGGAGGTTGAGGGGGGACCTGATTGAGGTCCACAAAATCATCAGAGGTATGGACAGGGTGGATAGCAAGAAGCTTTTTCCCAGATTGGGGGACTCAATTACTAGGGGTCACGATTTCAAGGTGAGAGGGGAAAAGTTTAAGGGAGATATGAGTGGAAAGTTCTTTATGCAGAGGGTGGTGGGTGCCTGGAACGCGTTGCCAGTGGAGGTGGTAGAGGTGGGCACGATAGCGTCATTTGAGATGTATCTAGGCAGATACATGAATGGGCAGGGAGCAGAGGGATACAGATCCTTGGAAAATAGGTGAAAGGTTTAGATAGAGGATCTGGATCGGCGCAGGCTTGGAGGGCCGAAGCGCCTGTTCCTGTGCTGTAATTTTCTTTGTTCTTTGACATGATGCTCTGAGAGAATCTGTGGGAACCTATGAGAACCTGTGAGAGGATCTGTGAGAACATCTGAGAGCCTGAGAGGATCTCTGGGAATCTGTGTGATCTGTGATATGACAATCTATGAAGATCTGTGATGATCTTTGAGGATCTCTGATGGTCTATGAGAATCTGAGAAGATTTGTGATGATCTGTGATGATGATGAGAATCTTTGAGAATTTGTGAAACCCTGTCATGATTCATGAGGATCCATGATGATCTGTGAAAATCCATGAGGATCTGTGGGAAGTTGTGAGAATCGGTAAAGATCTATGAGGATCTGTGGATGAACTGTGAGAATCTGTGATTATCTGAAAGGATCTGTGAAGATTTGTCACAAAACTCAGTGTCAGATCTCTGGAATTGCAGCTGCTGTCAATACGGGAGAGTTTGTGACTCAGCAAGCTCACCTCGTCAGTGTGCCGTGTGCCTAGCTCCAAGGACAGCAGACTGCCTTCCCTAAACAGCATTCATGAACTGGATGATGATAGTTTCTCAGTCATCATTCCTAAAGGCTAACTTTACATTCCAGATTTATTAATGAATTGAAATTTCACCAGCTGTCAGGTTGGGAATTGAACCCACGTCCCCTGAACACTAACCTGGGGTTCTGGATTATCAATTCAGTGAGATTCCCAACATGCCATCGCCTCCCCTTTCTACATGACACCTTATGACTTTTGACAATGCAATATCAAACACACTCAACCTGGATTTATCAACGCATCTCCATCTGTTTGTACATCAACAGTATCCCCTACTTTCTCATTACATTCTTAAAGCACTCAAATAAATTTGTCAAAAATGATTTCCTTTTCACAAAACTCTGTTGACTTTGTCTGATTCTCATTGTCTTACTACTACACCTTTACTTATGGTTTCAAATTTTTTTCCTAATTGACCAACGGGTCAATAGTCTCCAGCATTTTTGACTGCTTCCTTTGTTGAACAGAGGCGTTATACTTGTAGATTTCCAATTTTCTGGGACCTTTCCAGAATCTAGGGAATTCCGGAAAATCACAACCATTTCATCCCCTAAATCTGCAGCCTCCTTTTTTAAGACTCTAGGATGCAAGTCACAGGTACAGGGGAATTGGCAGTCTTCAGTCCTATTATTTTGCCCAGTAATTTTTCTCTAATGTTCATGATTGTTGTAACTTCTTTTCCTCCCTCTTCTCTTCCTATTCTCAGGGTGCTTTTATGTCTTGTATTGTGAAAATGGATGCCAAGTACTTGTTCAAAGCCTCTGCCATTTCCTCATGTCCCAGTATTCATTAACCACGCTCACCCTCTAAGGCATCAACGCTCACATAAATTACCCTTTTCCTTTATCTATGCTGGTTGACGCCATTACTGTGTGCTTTGTATTTCTTTCCAGTTTCCTCAAATACTTCATCTTCTCCCTCTTTGTTCCCCTCAGTGAATCTTAATTGCTTTCTGCATAACTTTCTGACCTATCATTAATCCTTTCAGCATCATATATCTTTTCTTTGAAACGATACCAACTTCCTTAGCTACAGTTGGTTCATCTGACTCGCAGAGCCTTTCTTTCTCAATGGAGTCATTTTTTGTTACTTTTCAAAATATCTCTTAAATGACTTCTTTTTAAGTGTCTTAACTTCTAACCATTTTCAATTCCACTTAGCTAACTGTGTCTTCATACGCCTCTACTTGTCTTTATTGAAATTTAAGACATTAGTTACAGACTCTAGCTTCTCATGATCAAGATCCTGGAACTCCTTTTCTAACAGTAGGTTGTGTATTCCTACACAGAAATACTGCAGCAATTTAAAAAGACACTTCACCACTACTTTCTCAAGGGTAATGTGATGATGCTGTCAGTTTAAAAGGTTATTTCGTCCTGGTTTTTTTTGAAGAAAGTTTGTAAAGGCCTCCACCACCACCCCTGGCAGCGCATTCCAGACTCCTAACACTCTGTGTAAAAAACTTGCCCCTGACATCTACTTTGAACTTTCCCCGTTACATTAAACGCATGCCCTCTAGTATTAGCTACTTCAATTCTGGGAAATGATTCTGACTGTGAACTCTATATATGAGTCTCATAATTTTATAAACATCTATCAGGTCTTCCCTCAGCATCCACTACTCCAGAGATGATAACCGAGTTGGTCCAGCTTCTCCTTTATAGCTCATACCCTCTAACCCAGACAAACTTCTGGTAAACCTCTTCTGCACCCTCTCCAAGGCCTCCACATTCTTCCTGTAATTTGGCAACCAGAATTGAACGCAATACTCTAAACGTGGACTAACCAAAGTCTTATAAAGCAGCAACATAACTTCCTGACTCTTGTACTCGATATCCTGACCAATGAAGGGAAGCATGGCATACCACCCTATCTATTTGCATGGCTACTTTCAGGGAGCTACGGACGTGAACCTCAAGATCTTTCTGCACATCAATGCCGTTCAGGGTCCTGCCATTAACTGTATACTTTTCCTTAACATTCGATCTCCCAAAGTGCAGCACCTCACACTTACCCAGATTAAACTCCAACTGCCATTTCTCCACCCATATCTGCAACTGAGTTATATCCCGCTGTATACTTTAACAACCTTCTACCACCCTTTGTATAGTCTGCAAACTTACTAACCCACCTATCTACATTTTCACCTAAGTTATTTATATATATTACAAACAGCAGGCGTCCCAGGATGGATCCCTGCAGAACACCACTAGGCAAGGAGCTCCAGCCTGAAAAACACCTTTCCACCACTACCCTCTGTCTTCTATGGGCAAGCCGATTCTGAATCCACGCGGCCAGTCATCGTGAATCCCATGCATCCTCATCCTCTGAATGAGCCTACCATGAGGGACCTTGTCAAAAGCCTTACTAAAATTCATGTAAAGAATGCTCTACCCTCATCAATCACCTTCATCGCCTCCTCAAAAGATTCAATCAAGTTAGTAAGACACGACCTGCCCTGCACAAAGCCATGCTGACTGTCTCTAATTAGGCCATGCTTTTCCAAATGTGCGTAAAGCCTACCCCTAAGAATTCTCTCCAATAGTTTCCCAACCACCGATATGAGACTCAGTGGTCTATAGTCTCCTGGATTATCCCATGCATATGGCTTTACTGTCAGAGGCCAGGTTTTTATTTTTAAGCCATAGCATCAGAAGCTGTTTGGGGTCTCAGAAGCTGTTTGGGGTCTCAGAAGCTTCAGTGAATGATTCCTAGCTGCCACTTTCTCTAAAATCTCTCTTGATGTTGTTTCCTCCTGGATTGGAGAATTGCATGTAAGAATCGGTGTTTGAATTTGCCTTTTTGCCAAGAGGTGTGTTTATGTGATGTTACTATATTGGAGTAGTTAATTAATAATACGTACTGTAACTATTATTTGGTAAAAGTTTCCAAAAGTTATGTTATTCTAAATCCTTTCTTTTGTTTGTATTTTAATACAGTGTTTAAATAAATTGTGTTTTGCTTAATGCAGTGTAGTTTGACCAATCGCATCACATCTACCTTTAAAATAAGAAAAAGTTAGGGTCTAGGCTACCTTCTTAAAATAGCTTGAGGGGTGTGGCCTGGTCCATAACAGTAATTAAGAATGGGCAATAAATACTTGGCCTGGGCAGAGATGGGCATGAAAAGCTTGCTTAGGCAGTGACACCCACAACCAAAAAACAAAGATAAACCACACACACACACACACACACACACACACACACCCATACCTTACATACACTAACAACGTTTTGACTGATTGATTGTGAGATTCTCACCGTTTTGCTCACACATAACACCAGCAGCAAGCAGGTCTGGCTCACCCAGGGTGATATCGTTAAGTCTTGCCCCGAGACATTCCATGGAGAGAATTTTGTGCCATTCCTCAGCTTCCAGCTCTGTGAGCAATTGGTATGATCAGTTACACTATTCTCTAAACATTAAATCACAAAACATACCTCTGTAAAGAGAATGACAAATGCCACCTTTGCAGGGTACATTGTCATAGGGGTACAATCCATAGGCACTGACTCGCACACACTCATTGGTTTCTGTTGACATCCAGCTCCTGCTAAATATCACCCAAAGTCTGAGATTCAGGCCTCACATCATCAATAGCACTTGTGGTCTCTCATCTGAAATGACCCATTTTTGGACAGAATTTCACATCAGCATGGATTCCTCCCTCAGGAACCTACACACCATAAAGAGAGCAGTTTATTTGGAAAGCGTGGGCATCACACACACACACACACACACACACACACACACTCTCACTGGGGTATGGGGTTATGGTGTCCCACACACACACTCTGACTCTCACCGGGGTATGGGGTCCCACACACAATGACCTAATGTTAATTCTGTTTAACGCGGATAAGGTTGTATGTTTTGTGACTTTGCCCTGCTGCCCTGTCCCATCTATGTGGGGGATCTTATTGTACTCTCAAGGTATCTCTGTGACCCTCACACTGTATCTGTGTCATAGTCACACTGTATCTGTGTGATAATCATAGTTTACCTGTGTTCCATGCACAACGTTGCTGGATCATATTCACAGTGACCTGTGCTGTACTCAGTGTACCTGGATCAAACCCACAGCGTACGCATGTTGCACCCACAGCATATGCGTACCATGCTCACACTTTGTGTTGTACTCACACTCTATGCGTGTCACATTCACAGTTTACGTGTGTTGTACTCACAGTTTATGCATGTCATACTCACAGTTTATGCGTGTCGCATTCACAGTGTGCCCGTGTCATACCTGAATCACAGGTAAAGGTGCGGGACGTGTCATCGGTGAAGATGAGGGCTACAGCCTGGCGCTTAGTGTCCTTCGGTAAGCGGGTAACATTTTTAACATTGCTGATCTCGGTCACCTGGGCATGGAGAGAACATCATAGTGAGAGATAGAGAGAAAGAGAGAGAGAGAGAACGAGAGCGAGAGCAAGAGCGGCAGGAGGGAGCAAGACAGAGAATGCGAGATGAGGGAGTGAGGGAGACAATGAATGGGAGTGAGAGAGAGAGATGGGGCAGATACAGAGAAAAAGAAGGAGAGGCAAAGAGAAACAGAGTGTGGGAGATTTAAACAGAAGCAGATATAGAGAGAGAGAGAGGGGAAGTGATGCAAAGATACAGAGTGAGAGGAAGAGAGCGACAGACAGAGTGTGAGACAGAGAAACAAGAGAGTGAGACAGAGCGATAGTGAAATGGAGCGAGAGGGAGACTGAGTGAGATCAAACAGAGAGGGGGAAACAGAACAATAGAGACAGAGGGAGAGAGAGTGAGTGAGAGAGAGCGAGCAAGAAAGGAGACTGGAGTTGCTCTTTTTCACGAGGCCCTGGTTTTGGGAAATGTGATGATGCTGACAAGCAGAGTTGGGTAGCTGGGCAATGGGTGCCTCCTGTAGTGTCACATCACTAGCTGGTTGAGGGGCTGCCAATGAAGGAACTATCCACTTGTTCATGGTGGAGAGGAGGGCAGTGAGTATAGCCAAGAAGGTGGCACCTTCAGTCAGAATGGCAGAGCAGGCACCATCAACACCTGCACTCGTGCAGAAAGAAATTCATATTGACCTCAGAAAAAAGTGAGTGGCTTCATGGTTGGCATCTGGAACCCAGTGCAAGGCACCATGGCCTCAGGTTCAGTGGTAACCCAGGCACTGAGCTGTATTAGGCAGTAGTACTGGTACTCAAGCATTGAGTCAACAAACAGCCAAAAGCGATGCCCAGGCAATGGGGAATGCTGCTTTAATGATTGGCTGTTAAATGACGAACATAATAGGGGTTTGGAGCAAGAGTAAGCCATTTATCCCTTTGAGCCTATTCTGCTTTTCAAAAGGATCTCAATGGTCTGGCTGTTGTCCCAGCTCTATTTTCCTGCCTGTCCCTTATAATCCTTGACTTCCTTCTCGGTCAAAAATCTGTCAACATGAATATGTTCAATGACCCAACCTCCCCACTGCTCCCAGGGAAGTGATTTCCAAAGGTTCACAACCCTCAGAGAGAAGGCATTCCCCCTCGTCTCTGGTTAAAATGGGAATTTGCCTAATTTTTAAACTGTGTTCTCTTGATGTTGTGTCCCTCGTAAGAGGAAACATCTCCCCAGTATCCACCCTCAGTCCGTCAGGATCTCCAATGTTTCAACGAGACCCATTTCCTTCCTTCTAAACTGCAACTGATGCAGGCCTAACCTGTTCAGAGTTCCCCATGAGGCAAGCCTTCATCGTCAATATCAGCCAAGTGAACCTTTGCCAAGCTCCTTCCAATGCAAATACATTACTTTTCTTTAAAACATAAGGAGGCCAGTACTGTACATAATACTCCAGATGTAAATCTACAATTCAAATCCCTGATTTTACATTCCATTTTCCTTGCAATAAATGGCACAAGATGACAGTTCTGAAGAAGGGTCACTGGACTCAAAACGTTAACTCTGTTTCTCTCTCCACAGATGCTGCCAGAAGTTTCTCTCACATTTCTTTTCTCTGTCTTAAGACTATGTTGACTTGTTTTAATCATGCTATGCCTTTGTAATGATTGAGGCTGCCTCAAAACAGATTCCTCAACAAAGGTTGGTATGCTAATTGGGCTGCAGTTCCCTATTGTCTCTCTCCCTCTTTTTTTGGAAAGCTGAATTAGGCAATTTGAATTCCTGAATCCAAAGAAAAATCAAAACATCATTATTAATACATTCTCTGTCTCATTTAGAGGGCATTTCAGAGTCACCATAGTGCTGTGAGACTGGAGTCACATACTAAACACCAAAGGGTTAAAGGAAACAAGGCCAATAGATGTTGGGAATTAATAAATTCACTGCATTAAATTATATAAAGACATGCCAGGCATTTACATAACAATGGAGCTGGGGTGCATTATATTCCCCACTGTGACATTTTGACTTGATCCCCAGTTTTCTTTTCAGTTATAGTGCCTCAGTGGGCTGCTTTATTGTTGCAGAGATAGTAGGAACTGCCGATGCTGGAGTCTGAGATAACAAGGTGTAGAGCTGGATGAACACAGCAGGCCAAGCAGCATCAGAGGAGCAGGAGAATCCAGTTTATAGTCCCACTTACTCAGTGCAATTTGTTGTGGACAGATTGTGGAGCAGAATGTGAGAGAAAGTGTGAAAGAGATTGTGTGAGCAAGAGAGAGTGAGAAAGTATTTGAGAGTGTGAGAAAGAGTGTGAGAGACAGCAAGAGGAAGTGTGAAAGATTGTGCAAGAGTGAGAGAGTGTGAGAGTGTAAAACAGAAAGTGTGAGAGAGAAAGAGAGAGTTTGGACGAGAGTGTGAGAGATTGAGAGAGGAAATGTGAGAGACTATGAGAGAGCAAGAGATAGTGGGAGAGAGTGAGTGTGAGAGAGTATGAAAGATTGTGGGAGAGTGTAAGAGAACGTGAGAGAAAGTGTGTGAGAGCTTGAAAAAGAGAATGTGAAAGACAGCATGATACATTGTGAGGGCTAGTGTGACAGAATCAGAATTCCTACAGTGTGGAAGCAGGCCATTCAGCTCATTAAGTCTGCACTGACCCTCTGAACGGTATTTCACCAGACCCACCCCTCTACCCAACAAACCTGCATTTCCCATAGCTAATCCACCTAACCTGCACATCCATTGACTCTACAGGGCAATTTAGCATGGCCAATCCACCTAATCTGTGTAGCTTTGGACTGTGGGAGGAAACCGGACAATCGGAGGGAAACCATGCAGACACTGGGAGAACGAGCAAATTCCACACAGACAGTCACCCGTGGCTAGAATTAGGTCCCTGGTAATGTGACGCAGCAGTGCTAACCACTGAACCACTGTGTTGAATGTGAAAGAGTGAGTGAGACAGCGTACGTGAAAGACTGCGAGAGAACAAAGAACAGTATAGCACAGGAACAGGCCGTTCAGCCCACCAAGACTGCGCTGGCACATCATCCCTTTCTAAACTAAAAACTTGTTGCCTATACACAGTCCTTATCCCTCTATTCCCTATCCAATCATATATCTGTCAAGGTGCTGCTTAAACATTGCTTTTAAATCCACCACCACCACAAGCTGACAGTGCTTTCCAGGCACGGTCTATGTAAAAAACCTGCCTCGCACATCTCCTTTAAACTTATCTCCTTTTACCCTAAACCTATGTCCCCTAGTAATTGATATTTCTATCTTTGGTAAAAGACTCTGACTATCCAAGCTATTGACGCCTCTCACTATTTTGCAAACTTCTATCAGGGTGCACTTCGTCTCTCGACATTCAAGTTAAAACAAACCAAGTCTGTCCAAAGTCTCCTCATAGCTAATACCCTCCAAACAAGGCAACATCCTGCTAAACCCTGTACCCTCTCCAAAGCCTCCATATCCTTCTGGTAGTGTGGCAACCAGAACTGTACGCAATATTCCAAATGTGGCCCAACTAAAGTTCTGTACAGCTGCAATATGACTTGCCAATTTTCATACTCTATGCCCCGACCAATGAAGACAAGCATGCCATACGCCTCCTTGAACACCTTATCCACTTGTGTTGCCACTTTCGGGGGACTGTGGAGTGAGCCAGATACACACACACACTGTCTCACACAGTCAAACACTCACACTCATATACCTTTCCTTTCCTCACTTACACAATCGTACATTCACTCTCACACACACAGAGACACTCATCCCTCACCTTCACGTACACGTGCAGACACACATTCATATGGACACTCAGCATTGTCACAACAGGCTGAATAATGCCCTTTTATGCAATAAGCATTCAGTCACTTTAAGTGATATGGTGAGCGTAACAGAGGTAGACAGGGGAACATAGTACATAGAGCAGTACAGCACAGGAACAAGCCTTTCAACTGTGCCAACCATGATGCCATTCTAAACTAATCCCATCTGGTTACACATGTATCCCTCTATTCTCTGCCTGTTCATGTGTCTAAATGTCTCTTAAACATTGCTATCATCTCTGCTTCTACCACCTCCCCCAGCACTGCATTCCAGGTACCTCCCACCCTCTGTGTAAAATATACTTTACTCACACAGTACCCTTAAACTTCGCTCTCACCTTAAACCTATGCTCCCCAGTATCTGGCATTTCCACCCTGGAAAAAAGACACCGACTATCCACGCCTCTCATAATCTTATATACTTCTAACAATACCTGACGCTCTGGTGAAAACAATGCAAGTTTATCCAACCTCTCCTCATAACCAACACACTTCCATCCAGACAACATCCTGGTAAATCTATTTTGCACCCTGTCCAAAGCGTCCACATCCTTTCTGTAGTGTGGTGAGCAGAGCTGCACACAATATCCCAAATATGGTCCAACTAAAGTCTTACACAGCTGCAACTTGGCTTGCCAACTTTTATACTCAAAACAGAGACAGACACAGAGAGTGACAGAGGGAGACAGAAGTTGAGAGAGTGAGAGTGAGAGAGAGAGAGAGAGAAAAGTGAGAGAGACAGACAGGCAGACAGACAGAGAGAGAGTCAGGGTGAGGATTATGAGGTCACCCTCGTTTTTACCTTGGGACTCGCTTTGAGATTGGCTGCTTTCTCATCAGGATATTTCTCTAATCTTCGGGGTCCTTTGCTGGATGATGTTTTGAAGATGAGCCAACACCGTCGGTAGATCTGAAAGGAGAAACAGTGCTCAGCACTTTCCTTATCTCCTAAGAATAAGGGCACAGGATCCCTTGGAATACAACCACAGGTTCCCCAGGACCTCAGAGATCCAGTCAGAGTGCTAACAAGGCTCACCTCAGAGATCCAGGGTCAATAGCCCATTGACCACAAACATAAGCCCCATCCCACTGTTAGGGTGCAAGGGTCTGGTTGAGGGTCAGGATGAGGAACAAGGTTAGGGTGAGAGTCAAAGTGAGGATGAGGGTAAGTGTGATGGTCAGGATTTAGGTGGAGGTGGGGATCAGGATGAGGGTCAAGTTGACAGTCAGCTTGTGATGGAACATTAGACTGTGTTTAACGAGGGACTAGAACATTTCAGAGGCAGAGCAAGCACAAGGGTAGTATGATCTACTCTAAACTCCTCTTTCTCCTACAAGAACAGGGTAGTTCTCCTTTTGCCCTGGCAAATATTTAACACTCAACCAGTAACAGATTAGGTGGTCAGGGTCACCTTTGTGGGAGCTAGCCATGCACAAATTGGTTGCCATATTTCAAAAATTACAGCAGCAACTCTAACTCAGAATTGGGAAGGTTCCACAGTGGTGCAGGTGCCATACAAATGCACATTTTCCTTCCATTCACATGAAGGCAGCTCACTTGATCATCTGAAGGTTTGCGTTCACCCAGTTAAAGAGAACAGCACTGCTAGGGCAAGACCAGACACTGGAGAAAGTTTGGGGATTAAGGGGAGAGTTTTGAGGCCATCACCCTCACAGGCTGACCAACCAGATGGAGTTGTTCTTTCAAATTGTTTAGACCATCTGATTTCTTCCTGGGATGACATTTTTCCAGTATTGATAAAGATGGGCTGTTTTCTGGATCATGGACCTGAGGCGGCACAGTCGCTCAAGGGTCAGCACTGCTGCCTCACAGCATCAGGGACCTGGGTTCGATTCCACCCTCGGGCTGTGTGGAGTTTGCACATTCTCCCCGTGTCTGCGTGGGTTTCCACCGGGTGCTCCGGTTTCCTCCCACAGTCCAAAGATGTGGAATGCTAAATTGCCCATAGTGCCCAGGGATGTGTAGATTAGGGGGATGCTGTGAGGGCCGGTGTGAACTTGTGAGCCGAAGGGCCTGTTTCTACACTGTAGGGATTCTATGATCTATGATCTTGCACCCCCTGTCTGTCGCAATTGACTCTCTGACTCTTTAAACAGCCCTCAGCAGCATAACAAGAGCAAGAATATTACATGTTGGCAGCAAGTGAATGAACAATATGGAAGACTCTGCCATTACATCCGGTTGCTGGTCTCAATCAAGCAGCAGGTTGGATGATAAAACAAAGAATTGTGGATACAGGAAATCCGAAACAAAAAGAGAAATTGCTGGAGAAACTCAACAGATCTGACAGCATTTACAGACAGAAAGCAGAGTTAATATTTCAAGTTCCAGTGACTCTTCTTCAGAACAAGAAGTGTGGATGGATTTGTCTCGGATTTCTCAGATGAAGCATTGTCTGACCACTCATAGTCAAAGGATGACTTAACACTAAGAAAGGCAATTTAGCTGAGCTAAGGAAGACAAATTGTTCAGAGGCTTGGGGTAACGGGGAATCAGGACCAAAAATGAGTATGTTAATTTTAAAATTGGGGGAGAGCCCTATGAAAACAAAGCAGGCAGGAAGAGTGTGTGAATCAACCATTTTTGTGAGAAAGATTACTTCCCAGCTCAGTGTCACAGAAGAAGCATGTACAAAACAAGCCAAAGAAAAGAATCCCCACAGTGTGGAAACAGGTCCTGCAGCCCAACAAGTCCACACCAACCCACATAGCATCCCACCCAGACCCATCCCCCTGTAACCTACACATCCCCGGACACTATGGGCTATTTAGCATGGCCAATCCACCTAACCTGCACATCTTTGGACTATGGGAGGAAACCGACGCAGACACAGGGAGAATATGCAAACTCCACACGGACAGTCGCCCGAGGGTGGAATCGAAACCAGGGCCCTGGCGGTGTGAGGCAGCAGTGCTAACCCGCTGAGCCACCACGCCGCCCAAAAAGTTGGAGAAGATCCCAGTGTTTCGTGGGTGAGTTTACTGGACTGCTGATATCCCAAAAGAGGGAACAGAGATTAATGGAGCTATTGCCAGGATTTAGAAGTAAAGGAAAGACCAGCTGAGGGGTTTGATCCTCCCAAACAGTTTCTGTGACTCAAATTAAACTGAATTTTTACATCCAATTATCTGTCAAACCTGCCAGGACCCCCCAGGCAGGAGGGAGCTTGGATTGGAGAGCAGGCTCATTCTGGACAAGTAGTGAAACAGACCAGATCACATTCTGACCTGGTTCAAACTGAAAACAGTGGGGGCTGCATTGGGACAGCTTGTAGACAGAGGAGACCTTCTCTATGGTAAGGCCAGAGATACTTTGTTCATTCAGGGATCCAGATGTCAGCCTGATTCTTCAATTGGAGTTGTCTGTCAATTCTCCTATCAGAGAATTCAGCCTATCAAGAGTCTGACAGAGCTCACAGGATTCACATTGCCAATCTTCCCTCTGAAGGAGCTAACCACATGTTAGGGTAGAAGAGGGAAACTTTCCCAGCAGTTATTCCTATTAAAACTTACCAGAAATTGGGAGCCATAGAATCATACAGAACAGAAGAGGCCCTTTGAGTCTGTATCAACCTATCCATATATGAGTCCCACTCTGCAGCACATGGCCCATTAGACTTGAATGTTATGACACTTCAAGTGATCATCCAAGTACTTTTGAAACGTTGTGAAATTTCTGCCTCAACTACCCTCCAGGCAGTGCATTCCAGACCTCCCTATCACCCTCTGGATGAGATGGTTATTCCTCAACTCCCCTCTAAACATCCTGCTTTTCACTTTAAAATGAAGCCCCTTGTTTCTGACCCTTTGACTAAGGGGAACGGCTGCTTTCTATTCACCCTGTCAATGATCCTCATAACCTTACACACCTCTGTCAGGGTCCTCCCTCACTCTGCTCTGCTCAAAAGAAGCAGCCCGAGCTTATCCACCCTCTCTTCATCACTGAAATGTACCATCTCAGGCAACATCCTGGTGAAACTCCTTGGCACCCACTCCAGAGTAATCACATCCTTCCTACAGTGTGGCGACCAGAACTGCACACAGTACTCCAGCTGTGGCCGAACTTAAAGACCGTAAGGTTCCAACAAAACCTTCCTGTTCTTGAAATCTATGCCACGACTGACAAAGGCAAGTGCCCCATTTGCCTTCTTAACCACCTTATTAACTTGTCCTGCCACTTTCAGGAATCTATAGAAAAGCACTCCAAGATCCCACTGTTCCACTGAGCTTCCTAGTGTCCTGACATTCATGGAGTACTCCCTTGTCTTGTTCCTTCTTCCAAAGTGCATCAGCTCACGTTTTTCAGGGTTAAAGTCTACCTGCAACTGAACTGCCCACTTGACCGAACTGTCTGTATCATGCAGTAATGTACGACCTTCCTCCTCACTGTCAACCACAAGAACAATCTTGATCATGTGCAACTTGCTTATCATAGCCCCACATTCTCATTTACATAGTTTATATACATCATAAACAATAAGGGGCCCAGTACTGATCCCTGTGGTAGGCCACTGGACACTGCCTTCCAGTCAGATAAACAGCCTTTTGCCACCACCCTCTGTCTCCTACCACTAAGCCAACTTTGGATCCAACTTGCCAAGTTATCCTGGATCCCACAAACTTTTACCTTCATCAGTTTGCTACACAGGACCTTGTCCAAGGCCTTGCTGAAGTCTATATAAACTACATCAACTGCCCTACCCTCATCTACACATGTGGTCACCTCCTTTAAAAAATTTGTTGGGGACCCCTCTGACAAAGGGATGGAGACATATTTGAAGGGGTTCAGTGTTCCTTGATGATATGCTAATGAGGTACACTTTATTACAGGAAGTAATGCAGGGCCACATCATCTTCTCCCTCAGAGTGAGATTAGGACCGTCAGTACAGAGAAGGGTTCTTCGGCTTGTTGTGTCCATTCCAGCTAAAAACAACCACCTAGCTATTGCCTTATGCAGCCTTGCGATAAGATGAAACCACAGGAAGATGGCTCTCAATTAAAGTTAATATTTTCCTCATCTCAGCAGGTTCTTTAGTAACAAGACCTAGAGAGATCAGAGGTCCCAAAGTGGACATTAGTATATGAAAAACTTTGAAGGATTTTAAATGCACAAGAAAGGGAGATGTACCTTCACGACTAAAGTAAGTTAAAATACAACATGACATAAAACTGCACACATCTTCTGAAATAGTGAGTGTAAATGTTGGAACTTCTTTCCCATGGTGGAATCAGAATATAAAGCACTTATTGCCAGTTCCAGAAGGCTGATCAATACAAATTGTTTTAATTGCTGCAATGTTCAAAGTAAGTTTGAATGGGCAGCATAACCAGAAATTCAGAACCTTTGTCCCTGATGAATGGTACCTTCGTAGTAAGTGCATCAAAAGCTGCTGTAAAACATATTGTTTAGCCAGACCCACCTTTTATGCATTAATACTGTGAAAGGTCTAGAGGATGGTGTGAATGAAGGACATGTGCAGCAAAACTGATGTTATCTTTCTCTAATTCCAGGTGAATATCTGACAGGATACAGGAAGAGGAGAAGGAGAGATCAGTTGAAGGACTTTGGTCCTCTTGAAGGCTCAGGCCATCCCTGGGTCTCTCAAATTAAACAGCGTTTTAATGTCCAATTATCTGTCAAACTGCAACATGTTAAAGTGCTGTGGAGGTGCAGTGTAATTTCAAAGTCACTTTGAATCAGATGAAAGCTGCTGATCTCAAGCAGCTTCTCCCTCAAATAGTGTGACAGCATCTTCCCCCCCAACCCCCCAATGTCATTTAGAGTTCCAGATTGGTTACAACAGGCCATTGGGCCCTTCCATTGTGTCTGTGCTGGCCCTCTGAAGGAGCAATTCAGTAAGTTCCCCATAACCTGATACGTTATTCCT